CCTGTGTGTGCATGCTACGTAGACCCACTAGAGGTCAGTGCGTTGACCCCATTTAAACGCGTTTACAAATTGTAAACGCATCTTTTTGTGAGTTTACGATCGGCGATCGTGATCACCGTTTTTCGGTGATTCTACAAAAGTGAGCATGAACGCAACCGTGTTTTAAACTAAACGCGTAACAGATGCCTGATTCTGGCCAGAAAAAGTGAAGCATGAACGTGCCCTTAGTCTGTTGAGAGCCACAAGGGCCCATATTCTTGATAACACAGAGTTAATGGCCATCTGGCTCCAAACAGACAGTACCGGTATCTATTCGGGTTTTCAATGTTTTGTAGAAGTTGATTTGATTTACATTGAAATTCGTAAAATTGTAGCAAACAAAGAAACCTTTGACATTGCATCAAAAGTGTGAACTTGATTTGTACTTTCTAGTACAACCTTTTCCATGTTACATGTATCTGATTTGATTATCTGGTTTTTCAATTCAGGAGCTGTCAAGACTTTCTTATAAATTACCAAATATCTAAGGAAATGGTAGGGAAGATCAGGGGGGAGGGTAAGTTTCAGGGGATTAATACCCCTTTTCCAACACAATGTTACCCTGGGAGTGGCGAATGTGCCTACATTGTGTGCAGTAAGCCTGAATCCGATGACCGGGATAATAATATGTCCTGCGCCTAGAAAAAAAGTATTAGGCGCATTATAAATGTGAGCTATTATTATAATTATTATTATTATTATCAAGGATTTTACAGAAGTTCTATGATTTCTACTAAGAATTGGAAAATCAATAGATTGGAATTCCTTTCCATTAACTCCAGTCTCATACCATAACACCCCTGTTGAAAAGTGCACAAGTCCCTTTGTTTTAACAGTGAAGGTGCATGACCAGTTGACAATATATTCATCACACGTCTTACTAAACAAGAAGTCTTACAGATGGAAAATACACCAACCATCAATTGAAACAATTTCCTGTTTTTATTGATGCTGAAGAAGAGTGATTGAAGAAGATGCACATTGGAATTGATCAACACGAATAAAAACAAGACCAGTAATTTGTGTCTTGTTACAGAAGTGTAAGCAGGACATTGGCACTGCCCTTGGTACTTTGAATTTTGACGTTACTGAATGCTTGTATCAGGTGGGAAACCAATTCACAAGTGCAAAATCCATTCATTCCCATTTCAGCTATTGTATGCTTTTTATAGAAGTATAGAAAATGATATATTAAAGTCTGCTATTATATGAAGAAAATTGATGGGAATGTTGGGAGTTGGAGGGACAGTTCTAATGACAAAATATACCGTACCTGTATTTAGAACTGAGTGTTGAACTTCCTGTTTCTCCTCACCTTTATCTCTTGCTTCACCTTTTTTTCTTTCTCTTTTCCTTCTCTTCTTCACTCTCTTTGTCCCTTCTCCTTCCTTCCCTTCCCTCTTTACTATTTTTCTCCACTCTAGCTATTACTGTTGTGGTTGTAGAACATATGCCCAGCAGCAGATGCTCTGCAGTATAAAAGGCCAAATAAAAAACAACATGTTTATCGTCCTGCTTTCTTGAAAAATAGGGAGGAGGCCCTTTTTTTCTTCTTTTTTTCTCTTCAAAATGGCCGCTCGGTACATTTTCCCTGACAGTCAGGCTATTTTTGCAAGATGGCCGCCAACATATTTTTTAAAATTTATTCTTTTAAAAAACAGAAATAGATCCATTTTAGCAGTGTTTTTCATGTTTTTTTTTACTTTAAAAAAAAAAATTCAAAAAAAAATAAAAATAGGAGGCGGCCCCAAAAGGAAGCGGGCGGGGGTGCTAAACATGTATATTTTTTTTAATTGCCTAATTATCTGTGATAATCTAATTCCTAACTTCAACCCTCGACCCAACACTATACTCTAATCTTAAACTTTACCAAAACCCAATGGCATCCTTAAACCTAGCCCTTTACTTTTGATGAAATAAAGCCAGGAGTAAATCGCAGATCACCCTACATGTACATCATTTAAGTTATGAAGTTGGTACACTACCAGTACCAAAGTCTGATAGTGCGTCAAACCATGGATCACCCTGAATGCTTGCTTTTCTTAATTACCTCAACATTTACCACATTGCTTGTGTTTTATGGTTATTGGAAATAGTGTAAAGTTCAAGGGTAATGTTCCATCCTGTACAAGGGAATACAATGGTCAATGCAGTCTTAATTTGAGATTTAAAAGCACCTATTGACCTTAAAAAGCGCTTCATCGACCATAATAGATTTTATCAAATGGGGTCTAGATTACATTGGAGGGTCTGTATGCATTTGCCCTCTTTCTTAATAGGGGCATTTACACTGTCATCCAAACACGCCAAAAAATGCCAAACCGGAGCCTGGACGCGATGTTACCAAGGGCAACTACGCATTACAGGCAGAAATGCCAATTCCAAAACATTCCAAATCGAAGTGTGATCTTTTGGCATGTTTTGGCGTGTTTTGGCGTGTTTTGGCGTGTTTCGCAAGTATAAACGCTCGCAGTTGTAACATCGCGATGTTAGGTGACGTAACTTTAGGAGTGGAGCTAGATGTCGTCCTTAAAGAAAATGATAGAACGATATATACAAAGAATAACATAAGAGAAGGTGATAGAAGGAAGAAACAAATAATAACATAAGGAATAACATAAGGAAAGACAGAAAGAGAAAGTGATAGAAGGAAGAAACAGAGATTAACATAAGGAATACCATAAGGAAAGACAGAAAGAGAAAGTGATAGAATGATAAAAACAAAGAATAACATAAGGAAAGACAGAAAGAGAAAGTGATAGAATGATAAAAACAAAGAATAACATAAGGAAAGACAGAAAGAGAAAGTGATAGAATGATTAAAAAAACAAAGAATAACATAAGAGAAGGTGATAAAAGGAATAAATAAAGAATAACATAAGGAAACACAGAAAGATAAAGTGATAGAAGGAAGAAACAAAGAATAACATAAGAGAAGGTGATAGAAGGAAAAAACAAAGAATAACAAGGAAAGATAGAAAGAGGAAAGTGTTTGCATCGGAGTGCCGCGCATGCGCATTACCAACTGAAACACGCCAAAACATCACTGAGCTTTTCAGTCGGTGATGTTTCCGCACAAGTGTAAACGGGTGCGCGAAACATCGCGACTTTTCAAAATGAGGTATTTGACAGTATAAATGCGCCTAATAAGGACATTTTGGGGTCACACTAATCACCAACAAATCGGTATGATCAACAGATTTTTGTGGGTATTTCCAGAAGTGTAGATGGTGGTCCAAAAAATTGATGGTTTTCCAAAATGGTGTATGGGATGCGTAAATGGTCCTTCTGTGTTTCATGAGTAAATTTTGTGTGGTATGTGTTCACGCTTGGATGAATAGGATGCATTGTTTGCGAGAGTGCAAAAATCAACTTTCGCAAAAGTATCAAAGTGAGAGAATGAATTAAATGTATCAAATGAGATGCATTGCATATGCTTTTTGCAGAAAGTCACAAACACACACACACACACATGCCCACGTGCGCCCAAATGCTCTTTTGATATTTGATATGTGTGGCATGATTAATTTTGTTAGGGATGTTATTTGGATCTGCAAAGACCGAATCCATACCCAAATCCCAATTGTTTTATTCAAATATCACATAAGCATTACTGGCGCAAGTTGATTTTTTCACGCTCTTAAACAATGCCTCCTGTTCATCCAAGCGTGAACACATACCACACACAAATGATACCAATTGATTTTGGATAAAGCACTCTTTCATAAGATGTATAATAATTTACTGTTCATAGATAATTTATAAAATAATTAGCAATTTTCTAGGTGTAAACTTTTTTTGACTCGCACCGTAAATGGCACAAAACTTAAAAATGCAAACATATTGAGCATTTTTTAGGCAAGTTCTGTCTTAATTGTCTAAATATCTTTTGTATTACTCAAGATTCTATCTTATACCCTTTTCTAACTGGCCTGATTTTCAACGGAGGCATCCGGACGCATATGATGAAACGGCCAGCAACTGAGGAGAAAAAGGCGATTAAATAGCCGATAAAAAGAAGAGAAATAGGCGATTAAATTCTCATTCTATCGGTGTGACACCGATGAAACGGCCAGTATGAAAGCGTTCGGGAGAAAAAGGCGATTAAAACAGCGATTCAAATGGTCAAAGGTTGCAGTATACGCTTCCATTGTAACCAGCTGTGTTTGTTAACTTATGGTTGAACATGCTGCATGCTAGCTGTGCATGCGCGGTCTTAAAGATAATACAAAGTTTTGGGAATTTTTGAAAATTGGATGATGGTGATTCTTTTCACTTTTGATATATTTGGATGTCCCTGTGGATGTAATATAAGCACTAGAAAATTTAGCCCCTAAAACACTTCTGCTTTCGAGAAAAATTGAATATTAAAATTTACCGGTGCTCCCGGTAAATTCTGATAAATTTTAAATAGCGCCGTACGGCCGTACAATGGTAGCTGCGCCATGAAAATTTCAGAATATGTAGTTGTGATATATAATTTCCAAACGGGAATAGCTAATCGGTCAATTTTAGTCAAGAAACATTGTTTTATAGCTTAGTTAATATCTTGACCTTGAGAGGGAGCTATACAACATAAAAAGTTTATTATTTATAATTTCATAACTTTAGAATCGATTTCAACCGCGACAACGATCACTGCATATTGTAGGGTCGCATATGCTTCCAATATGTTAATTTAAACCAAATTCATGACCCCATACCAAAACTTTGTATTACCTTTAATAATTACGCAATAATTCTTTACTTCCGGCAAGGGCTCGCCACAGTGAGTGAATTTTACCGGCAGTATGAAAACGACAGGGAGAAAACGGCGGTTTCACCTTTGTTTACATAAGGAAAATTCAAACGGTATTTTCATCGGTGTGACTCCGATAGAAGCCAGTTTGAAAGCAGTATTAGCTTCCTGATTGATCACTGTTTATCTCATCTCCTTTCTTTTTTGTCTTCTTCTTGTTCAGGTGGTGTGGACCTTCTGCATGATCTGAGAAATAAAGCACCTAAAGCAGGGAGGATAAAAGAAATAGAAGGAGAGAATGGATGCCTCGTATACAGATTCAAACCACAGGGAAATAGTACTTTTCCAACAGCCAATGTAGTTGGTACAAGGTACACGGTAATCTTCATATTGCTTGGTGAAAAATGTATTTGTGTGTACAGGTCAGGAGCCTGTTTGAAAATCTAGAAATTAGTCCTTATTTACTGATAAATGTTAGATTGGATATAATCATACTGTATTGTGTATGGGATATGGAGTATATGTCATTGCTCATTGCTGGTCTGGTTACTTGTAGAGAACCTATAAAAAGACTCCTTGATATGAATGTGCAAATATACTGAAAGGCCACCTTATTTGAAATCTACAGTGAATTCTTAACAAGAGTGAAGAAAATGAAGTTATTTAAAAGTTTTCTGTGGGATAGTGCAAGCTGTTTTTCCCATAGAGCTTGAATCAGATAAAGGACCAAATAAAATCATATTCTTATGTCAATTTATGATCACATTTTCCATAATGTAATAATACTTCGTAAAGTGTCTGTGTGGGACATCACTTGGACTTGCCTATTTAGGGGCATACCAATGTCTGCAAATGCAGGCTTCATCTTTTCTTGTGCTGTATCATGGACTTTTCTGTATTAAATGCTTCTTTCTATTATTTATCCCTTGTATCTTGCAGCTTCCCAAGTAGCTTTAGTGTATTGATGAACATGCAGTACAGCCAAGAAGATCTGGGAGATATAGTCACAGTTGTAGATGCCAACAATAATATTCTACTGAGGTTAAGAATGGGATACAGTATTTTTGAAGTACAAGTCAGGATACAGAGATTAACATCATACAGGTATGTTCTAGTTCATCCTTATCTTTTCAATTTGGGTGTGATTAATTTTGTTTTTCATCCGTTTAGAGACAAAAGACCTGTTTTCATCTGTTCGAGATTGTCAAATAACCTGCTATTTTAACTATCCCGATCGCAAATTATCCAGCTAATTTGCGTCTGCATCAGCCCGCATTTTAGCGGGATATTTGGTCAAGATAATCATCCCAAGATATCTTGGGCTAGTTTGCAAAATATTCCACTATTTGTCCGGTGTGTTTTCACCAGCCCGAAGACTTGCACTAAGCGCAAACGTTGAGTAAAATATCTCAAGCTAATTTGTTTAGTTTTGAGGTCAAGTCTAGAGCTTGTAACTTCGGGTGGGATAGCCTATCCCAACGCTGCCACAACTTTATATCAATCGCAACTTTGTAATAAACAGATAAGAGTCTGTAAGTTTGCGAAATAAAATAGCAAGCCTATTTGGAGGAGAGAGAGTAATGAAGGAATATTTCTCTACCAGCATAGTCCAAGAAATTATTAAAAGCCATGTGAAACTTTTTGTCATCATGCCTCATATGAATTTTATGAAATATGCCAATCTGTTGTTTATTTTATGTATTTCACCAAAAACCTAACATTAGAAACTGAGGCCGCTCTGTAAATATTTATATCAAGTCTCAACTTACTAAAATTATGTGCTTGAAATGTCAAACTAATCTGAAAACATGAATAAATTTGATCTGACATGGCACTTCAATTTAATATTCCTCCTACCTACAGTTCTCAGTTACTCAGTTCAGTTGCCCTAAGAAAAAAATCTCGCAAATGTGTTGCTCTGTTATGTCATCACTATTGCTGGTGAACTGTATGCCTATTGACTGCGCCAAGTATACCACTCATTTTATACCAACGATAATAAGTGACACAGTACACAAGAGATTTACTAGACATGTTGCCCTCATGTTATTCAGGTGCCCAAATGTTGATGTAGAAAATGATATTCTTGGACAAAGAAAATTATGTCCTCTAAAAGAAATTAAAATTGTGGTCTAGGACTCTAGTTATTTTTAAGTTACCCTGCAACAAAATTTGCATCAATTCAAGATAACCAATGATGAAATGCTCTCTGATACAAATTATGTCTCAAGAAATATATGATTTTGTTTAAATCATGTTAAAATTTCATAATGGTTACGGTAAAACAAATAAAATTGAGTTGGTAGTGGTGATGCAACAATATCTTTGAATTATTAACACCAAATTTGGAAGTGTGAATGATCTCATTTCCAAGGCATAATGACTAATTTCTGAACCAGACTTGGTAATATTGCCAGACAGTTATTGACCTTGTATTGTCTACTAAGAGAGTAGCTTGGAGAAATGTGATCTTCATCATGAAAAAATGTTTTTAGGAATTTCCTTGGGTATTTGAGAGGAACGATTCCTTACAATGAATGACAAAAATGTGAGTTCCCCATAGCAAATACTGTAAATCTCATGTCAGAAGTATAGGATAATATGTAACATATTAATCTCTATTTCTAACATAAGATTTGCAGTCTATGACAAAAATGCATTTTCCATAATTCTTCAGTTACACAAAGTGTCCATAGTTTCAGGTTCACAGTTTAGTCTAATTTAAAGCCTTCTTGATAATATGATCACAATTCAAACTTGTTTGTTTTGTGATTTATACATTACATTATCTTTTTACTAACCATGTTTATGTTTATACAGTGTAGGGGCTGGACAGTTTCTGAGCGTGCCCCTCCCCCAACCCCCCCCCCCCAAAAAAAAAAAAAAAATAAAGGCTTGTCATTGCCACATAAAGATATGATATCAAACTTAGCATGGCAAATACTTGGTGTTTTCCCCAAAATATGTGTAGGAAGAGTGGATTAAAGATATTTTGCTATCAATCAGTATAAGCCTGCAAGTAAATCTGTAATTTCTCTTTCCATAAAACAAATGTCAATATTGAAGTGTGAATAGTGTTTAAAGTTGACTGCCCTATGTAAGACATAGTCCATGTGATGAGTGATGTCTCCTTGATGAAAGGTTGTTGTTTTGGAGGAGTGCGTCCACCCGTTTAATTGGAGGAGTCAAAGTAAGGAATAAGATCAGAGATCAACGCTGAAAGCACATGTTTGATAATCAAGGAATTCACACCTCTTGATATCAGAGCACTTAAAAGGTACTATCAGCCTTTTCACACACAAGTAAAATTCTTTAAAGCTGATTAGTTTAAAGCGCTTTAAGTTTTAAACTAATCAGCTTGACGTACGACATCATTCACACACAGAACTTTTGGTGCGATCGTTAATCGTTTCGTGATTAAAATGCACAGTGGTGCCATTGTGCAATGAAGGTCAGGACATATCAAACAAAGTTCATGCTCCATCCAGTTTAAACACGTATAACCGTTCACACACAAAATGTCAAGCTCTCTAGATACGAACTTCGTATCTGCAGCCTGCTTTGAGGGGTGTATGAATTGCGACTTTGTATCTATCTGAACATCGTATAAACTGTTGAGTTAAACAGCTTTAAACTAATCAGCTCTAGATACAATGAAATTTAGCTGTTTTTGAAAAGGCTGTAGGTCCCATTTGCAGCCAAAGAAATGAAAAGGTTAAATTCCATCGGCATTTGAAAGATGATACTAATTTAGAACTTCCCTCAAAACGAAAGGGCTTGAAAATGTCTTTTTGTGGGAAAATAACTACCATTAGTTGTAATCCTTTTAGTAAATAGTCTAATTTTCAGACACTTGTACCGAATGGTCGTACGTTTTCTGCTGCGCAAAGATTCAATCAGTTTAATATATCTGTAAAGCGCTTAGGCACATCGTTGGATCGGTGTATTAAGCGCTATATAAAAAAACAGATTATTATTATTATTATTATTATTAATTTTGGCAATTACTCGAAGTGGGTGGTTGATATACCTGTTACAGCTCATTTTTATGTATGTTATTACCAAAGAAAAAAAAGAAAGTCTTTCAGTCACTCAATAATGTCTGACAGTGAAGTCTAGAAAGTAAACGGGTTTCCTTGCATAATTTGAATACTAGGACACTGCTAACTTATACATTGCACAGATATGACAAAATTTCTGCACAGTTCTACAGAATTTGATGCTGGCTGCAAATTTGCCATAGTACCTTTAAAGCTTCCCTCACATTATTGACCTAACCCACCTTGTTTCCTCTGTAAACACACATTTGAAAGCACCCTCTTATCATATGATTAGTCAGGTGACAACAGGTAGGTCTATCATTCTAATTTTCTATGCACAGACTTCCTAGCCTTTTGAAAGCAGCCTGCTAGCTCTTTTCTTTGCTCTATACAGTGCGTCCCAGAAAAAACGAAACCGAGATTTATCGATGTTTTATCATTACTTAATCACAATTATAATTGGAAAATGACACATATTTGGAAAGCTTAGACCATCTTCTTTCATTTGATGCAACTCATATAATGCATATTTCACGCATGAGTGATTAAAATGAATTTAAAAAGAGGAAACCAAAAAGTCATTTGGTGGGCGGTATCTGAATTTCAAAGAGAAAATCACATTTCTAGAAAGTTGAGTTTCTGCTCTTTCATATGACACCTAAATCAGGAAAAATGAGCCAGGAATAACAAAGTTCTGTTTGTTTAAAGTGATGCTTGCATTTCCATAATATCATTAAACAAATTTGTTTTCACTGGTTGCCTGCCGTAGCAACAAACAGAATTGACAAAAGACTTAACTCCGTTTTGTTGATGATCAGACATAGACGAAAGACTTCATGCATGGCTGATTGTCAACGAAACGGAGTCAAGTCTATTGGGTACTGAAATGCATGATGTATGCATGGTCCATCCTCCTGTATAGCAGTGAGAGCTGGACGTTGAATAAATCCCTGGACAACAGAATTCAAGCAGCGGAAATGCAGTTCATAAGAAGAATGCTTAGACTGACAAAATATCAAACTAATAAGTGCTCAATAAGGCATGCGTCGAGGGATCCCTTATCATAAGGAAAAGACAACTTCAGTTTGTTGGGCATGTTAATAAGAGAAGAGAAGGCACAGAAAACAGGATACTGACAGGAAAAATTGAGGGAAAGGGAAGGAAGCAGAGGGAGATAGCACATCAAAAACATAGATAAGTTCATTGGGCTTAGGGTACGTTTATGCTCACCTTTTTCTGGCCAGAACGAGGCATTTGTTACGCGTTTAGTTAAAAACACGGTTGCGCCTTTCTCATTTTTGTAGAATCACAGAAAAACAGTGATTATAATCGCCGATCGTAAACTCACAAAAAGGTGCGTTTTGGATCGGCGATTTCTGCAAAATCAGCGATTCTGGGGAAGAAAAAGAACGATCATTTGTAAACGCACTGACGTCTACTGCAGACTAAGCACTGCACTTCTCTGGCTCCTCCAAGCATGATTCTGACTCTGAGCCAGAATCATGCCTGGAGGAGCCAGAGAAGTGAGCATAAACAGTACACCGTGGAACTGCGATTACGATGAGCATTTACGATGAGCATTTCAAATCGCTCATTCTGCCTTCAAAATTGAGCATAAACGTACCCTTAGAAACGTCACATTACAAAGAACCAGAGATAGAAGGAGATGGAAAGCCTTGATTGCAAATGCCTGGAATAGACTGCCAACAACACATCCCATGAAAACTAAAACTACCCCCAAGAACCATTACCCTTAGGCAACAACCCCCATAGTGTGAGGGTTATTTCAAGTTGTTGAGGCATTAGTTGTGTGTGTGTGTGTGGGGGGGGGGGGGTAGGGGGATAGTTGGTAGGGTGTTGGGGTGGGGAGTAGTTTTGAGGGAGTGACAATCATTACACAGGTCTAATTTTGCCCTTAGTTCTTATTAGTCAGTTCCTATTCACGATCTCTCACCTTTTTTCATCAGACCTTGGTACGCACAATATTGCTTCAAATTCATAAGTTTATCTCAAAATGGTCCATTGTTGACATTTGCTGACAAGTTTAATTTGACATCTTTATGTTCTGCAGTCTTTTTGATCTTGAGTGTTTTGAGCATATATATATTTCTTTTTTTCAAGGAGGAAAGAAAATGACTCATATTTCATTTCAGTGGGAATGAAGGAGATTGAAACTAAGCTGTCATATTCAATCCATAAATATGACATCTTCCCCAATATCTCTCTTGCACAAATCCATGGCTATATTGCCACTAGATGCCAAAGAATTTACCAACAAATAACATCTCCAACAGTGGCCCGCCCACTTCACCTCAACCATCCTTGGTAAACTTTTTGATAGCTTATTTGACCGTCCCTCAGGTCATTTACACAGCCCTAAAATCATTTTGAAAAACCATCAGGTTTTCGACTGCATTTACACTACTGGGTGAGTTATGTGACCAAAAACTTGATTTGTTTGAGCAATAATACTGCAAGAACTGGTGAAGGTTCTGTTGGCATATCAAACTCATTCCAGAGGTGGTTCTTTTGTTGTGTTTACTGGTAGTTGCTTCCCAGCTTCCATGAAACCAAGGAGGATCTCTTTGATGAAACACAGGAATGTGAGAAATATTGATGATTTTTGCTTGCAGTGTAAATGCAGCTCTTGTCTGCTTTTTGCCTAGTGCAAGTGATTAGGATTTAAGAGGCCATATGATTTATGGATCCTTCATGTCAGAAGGGCACAGTATTGACAGAGTCCTTAGACCAGATTGGACCTTGTGAAGTGAGATTTATTGAACTTTTTGTTTGTTCCCCCAAGTTCACTCCAATAGAGATAAATTCCATGGATGTAGATGGATAAGACATTGATACGCTGTGGAAATTTCATCATGTGTTATCATACTTTACTAATTCACAGTGAAGATGTAAGAAATCTAGAGCCCTTCCCAAATACTTATTTCACATTTCCCTATTTACACAGCAGAAATAAATTGCTGTGCTCACCCAGCTAGCCAAAGGCAATTTTATATTTGAATACCCATTTGCCAATGACGATGCCAGAGGATAAGGGTGGGTGGGGTTGGGAGGGGGGGGGGGCAGAATGTCTTCAATCCTTATATCCCCTCTCACGAGCCAGCCTATGTACAAAAGAATTGAGGCTTAATTTAACCACGGACCTACTAGGTCCATGATTTAAACTCTCTGCCCACCCTAACATCTAACAATCTCCTTGGCTAGCCTTCACAAACTTTCAGAGTCTTGGTGCTGCCACTGCCAGTATTGCACAGGGATTCCTGCTAATGGAGGCTCTCTTCATAATATGTACCATTTAAATTGATATATCCATGTATATGTATCGTCATATTTTCTCAGCCTGAATTGCACCAACCATGCTAAACACCATTGCAGAATCTTCCTATATCCTACTGTGAGGTTGAGGCCTTACAGGGGAGTTGGCTCAGTCGGTAAAGCGTCTGAATTGCACCTGAATTGCACCTGAATTGCACCAACCATGCTAAACACCATTGCAGAATCTTCCTATATCCTACTGTGAGGTTGAGGCCTTACAGGCGAGTTGGCTCAGTCGGTAAAGCATCTGCCTGTCGAACCAAAGATCCTGGGTTCGACTCCCAACCAGGCGGATGACTGAAGTCTGCATTGTGTGTTAACGTACCCCTTCCCTTGTTCATAGACGCAGGTTATGTCAAGTGGAAAACACTCCGTCCCTCGGATAGGACGTTAAATGGAGGGCCCGTGTACAGGAGAGTCACCACCCTTGCACGTTAAGAACCCATTGCACTATTCGTATAAGAGTAGGGGGAAACTCCGGTGTAATGGTCCACCTGCACACACCAATCAGGCCGAGTATACAGCATCTGCAAGAATCTTCAGTATTGAAGGAGGCAGATTATCTTGAAGAAGAAGAAGAAGAAGAAGAAGGTATAGGATGTCCTTCAAATTAAAACATAGTTTTTAACTTAAAAACACCAGTTTGGTAGGAAAATCTCCTCTGCAATTTGTGGCTGGTATTAGGTCAGGTAACAGTACTTCATTAAGAAAGTGTGGTTTTGGAAACTGATAGCATACAGGCATACAAGGTATGGGCATAGATGTTATTGAAACCCAGGGGAAATATATGACGGGAATTGCAAAAATATAGGAATGTAAAATCTATTTTGTAATGCTTCTAGGTGACACAAATCATTTTCACTTCTAATTTCCATTGCAGCTGTTGGAATTGTAATATTTCATATCTAAAGTACTACTTATCAACAAAAATCTAGTTAATCTGACAGCTTGATTTTGAGAGGTTTACTGTTTGTGGGTTTTATCCTGCAAATCACTCAATACCCCATACTCGTGAAGGAGTCAAGGGACCAAGCAGGATCTACTAGGCTGTACAACCAGCCCTTGACTGGTATTCGTTACTTATACCTCTTTAAAGGAGAAGTCCACCCTGATATTAAGTTGGTTTTATAGAAGCAAAAAGTTTGAAGTTGCGATCAATTAAACACAAATTGGCGAATCTTTGACGTATCTTGCAAGCTCTGCTCCCACTTGCCGTATACTAGAAATTCAGAAATGTCTTTATTTTCTGTTAAAAAAATGTTAAATTATACATTTACCCTGAATATAATTATTGCAAATATGTTTTTATTCAACCCCTGTATGAATCAAATATATATCGTCATCTATAACCAAGAAAAATGGAAGTTCATGTAATTTTCTGTACAGGGCAATTGGGAGGGGAGCTACGTCACAGAGTTGCCAATTGTGTTTGATTAATCACAGCTTCAAAAACTCATAACTTTCTTCTTTTTAATCATATTTTTCTCAAACTTGCACTGATCAACTTTTTCCTCTCACTTTTATGCTTCGATTAAAACCAAATTAATATCAGGATGGACTTCCCCTTTAAGGGCAGGACAGAAAGTTCAAGAAGAAATGAAAATAACTCCTACCAAATATTTTGAATGCATGAGGGGTAATCTTTCATCTGGATTCCCACAAGAGCTTTGGGCCAATTTCCAAAGTCAGGATTTTTCAGTCTCTTGCCTGGTCGATTAGCAGTCAGTGGGCATACCTTGATGAAATGGGATTCACCAATTTTTTTCTTCTTCTGACTTGACCTGTTGGATAAAGGCATGCTTTTTAACATTATCGCTAATAAAATACGCCATACATCATCGGGTTCCTATTTTAATGACTGAAAGAGTTAAATATGTACTAGGTATCAAATTTAATTTTTTTTTTTATTCACAAATCACCAGGAAGTGATCGAGCGTGCCAAATTACAAAAGTTGTTGTTGTACACGTATTCCAAAATGCTCACATGATGTATTCTGAAGGAACTTCTGTTCTTGAAGTAGCAGTTATCATGACTATGACCCTGCAATATTTGTTGGGAATTTCTTTGCCGATCACAGGGAACCCTGTGGATTTTGCCCCTGAATCGTGCATTGCTACATTTGCAGGATTTTATCTATATACCAAAGGCAAATATGAGATCATCAATAAGCCCATTTACACAGCCCAAACACCATTTTGGAAAATTGTTGGAAAAAAGTCAAAAAACCATTAATTTTTTTTGATGTTTCCTCATTAAGATTTTGGTGAGTAGTGGGCGTAAGTGCTCAACTTGTCGCTGCTTCTCATGGAAGCAAAGAGAGTCACGTGACCAAAACCCGGAATCGTACCAACCATTAGGGAGCAGGCATTAAAACTGCAAAAATTGTTAAGGACGCGTCTATGAAAACAACTCCAGAGGTGGATTTTCCATTTTCTTTTTCCCTGTCGTGTTGCAACTGACGAAGAAACTCTGGAATTTAAGAAAGATCAATGATTCTTGCTTGCAGTGTAAATGCAGCTAATGTTTTAGTTAGTTTGGTTTCAAGTGAACTATTAGCCCTCTAGGTCAAAATAGCTTTTAGTGTCTACTTTGTAGACTGTAATCATTATCAATCAATAAAGTCCTGAGAAGATATACACTTTTTCTATCAATAACAAATCACTATAGGCCTGTCTTCATCAGACTGAAGTTGCAAAATAACCTGCTATTTTTACTAGCCTGATCTCAAATTAGCCAGCTACTTTGCAACTTCATCAGCCCACAGTTGCAATTAGCGGGCTATTTGGTCGCCAAAATATCCCAAGAAATCTTGGTCTTGTTTCCAAAATAGCCTGCTGTTTTGGAAAAAGCGGACTTATTTGCGCCCGTCTGAGCTAGTTTGTGATGAGCGTATCGGTCTGGTAAAGATGCAATTTCAAGCTTAGGGAAAATTTCCTGAATCCCGAGTCTGAAACGCTGGATATTTTGAAACTTCAGTCTGATGAGGACAGGCCTATTGTCACAATCATTTGATCTTTGTTTGTTGGATGGCAATTTTAATGTTTGATCCTTGATGTAAATTGAAAAAACCTACACACTCCCCCACCTGCACCCACATCCGCACCCACACCTTTCCTTGGATATGTAACCCTCATCCAGATAAGATTTTCTGAATTACTTCTGCTGTAGCTGACATCATCATATAACTGGTCAGTCCTTGAATTCTGTTTATACTAGTAACTTTTACTTGGAAGTTCTTTTACTTAACAAGGATTTGACTGCTGAGGATTTTTGAGTGCTCGACATTTGCCTTGGTGACAACAATATCGTTCTCGGCTTCATTTCACCGAAAGTATAAAAGTTAGGGTTAGGGTTAATGTTGGACTTACAATTGGGTATTAGGTTAGGTTTATAGAGAAAGCGGAAGGGTTAGGTCTAGCTTTGAGTCCAGAGTTTAAGTTAGGAATTCGGTTAGTTGTAGAGCAATTTTCATAGGAAAAAGTGTCCTTCAACATCTTTTTTGAGTTTATAGTTTTGATTAAAACTTTGAACTCAAGTTACCCACCAATGCACAGATAGCATAAATTCAATTTCATTGTATTTTACCTCTCTCTTCTCTTTTTTTCCTTTCAGATTTGTTGCAGAAGATTTTGCAGATAATAAATGGCACAAGGTGGCTGTTGGCATCAATAAGAACCAGATAAAAGTTTACATGGATTGCGCTGAGGTTGCGACGCTACCAACAAGAGCTGGAAATGCAAGGATAGATTTCACTACAGCAGGAAAGTTTGTGGTGGGAGGACATTATAATGAAAATGATGTTCCATTTAAGGTAAGTACAGTTTTGCAACATATTGATGAAATGGGTTTTAATCACAACAATTATCTATTCTCAGCCAATGAGGCTGAAAATTACTTGGGATATTCCTGTAGTGTGATCGATCTCAAAATTAAACAAGGCCAGAAAGATGCTTCTTTTTTATTTAATCTATTGATAAATAAATATTTATTTAGTCAACTGAAATGAAAATAAAAATGGCACTAGTTGATTCTTATAGCCTATGGTGCTTTAATATGCCTGTGTCATGAGGAAACAGCGAAGCAGCCATTATATATCAGGTAATGGGTTGGTTGAGAGGGGGTAATGTTGAATCTTGCAAAAGGATATTAGTGCTATAGGCTGGGATCTGAACCCTCAACCCCTTTATTGGTCCTGTGGTAGTAGGATTAACTCCTTTCATATTAATGGATTCACCTTAGGCATGTTCTCATCAGCTCAAGATTGCCCCCAAAACGCTATTTTAACTATCCCGATCACAACTTACCCAGCTAATTTGCTTCTTTATCAGCCCACAGTTGCAATTAGCGGGATATTTTGGGCTAGTTTGCAAAATATCCCGCTATTTGTCCAGTGCGTCTTCACCAGCCCGAAGACGCACACTATGCACAAACGCTGAGCAAAATATCTTGAGCCAATTTCTGGAGCTTGAGTTTCGTGGTCGAGTCTCTAGCTGATGAAGACCAGTTGTAACTTGGGGCTTATTTACCAAATCAGAAATATTGGGCTATTTGGCAATCTGGACCTGATGAAGACATACCATTTGTGATATTTCTGGTAATGATTTCTAGGAATCGAAAGACAAGTGAACCACTTCAAAACATTTTGATGACAGAGTTTATTTAAAACTTTACAGATTTTATTTGCTTAATAAATAGGAAAAGGGAAGAAACATGTAAAATTTACCTCTGCCATTAATATGAGGCTTGTTCAAGTTCAAGTTCAAGTTTTATTTAATTAATATGAGGCTTGTAATACTGTATAAATGTTCAAGTCACTTTCAAGTTTTCAGTTTTGTTTTATGTCTTGTCTTATGTAGATAATGGGAAGAAAGAAAGTGAATGCACTGATATAATTTATACAAGAGATGATTTTATTACGATGCTCATGATGTTTTATTATCATTTATGTATTTTGATTTTAAAAAGTCAGTTTAGAATGTCGTCAGCTGTGATTGATACATGTTGAAAAAGAAAATGAGAAGACAGAATTGTAATTCTTGATATAAACTGTTTAGCCAACTTCACACTGGGAATGCATGGCTTGTTCATGAGAAGATCGTACTGAACCAAACAGAGGACAGTAACTACTATTACCTGTATAATATCCAAAGACTTCCATATTAGGATAAATTCCTTGCCATGTTTGCTGCATCGGTCACAGCTTCACAGTAGGAATCATGCCCTTTGGCAGGAGACTGCTGGTAACACATACCTCTTTCCAGAAATTACCCATCAAGGCAAATCAAGGCATAATGTATGAAAACTACAAGTAGGTCACCTTACATTTTCAGTGTGGCAAAAAGCTGTGAAACATCATGAAATCATCAAATAAGTAACAATGCCCAACTGTGTATCTTAATGTAGTTGACCTCAGTTGACCCCAAACTAAAAACTGTTGCCAAGTGATATTTTTTTCTCAATCCACCTCAAATCCCCGCTTCCACACCTCTCTCACACTTCTCTTTATTACGTAGGCCTCTATTTTTTGTTCTTTCCTTTTGAAAAAGTGTCTGTTTTCCTCTCACTCTCTGTCGTTCTATAATTTTGTCTCTTGTACTGTCTTTAAATAGATATCTTTCTTTGTCTCTCTTTCTTTGTTCATTCATTTTCTTTGTTCTCTCTCTCCCACCTTTGTGTAATTTTCCATTTTTGCCCTCTCTCTCTCTCTCTCTCTCTCTCTCTCTCTCTCTCTCTCTCTCTCTCTCTATATATATACCATTCTTTGCAATATATGTCATATTTTTATAAGTACAGCTCTGTGACATTCATTACAAATTTACACTAGTGAGATCACATACACACAAATTTCTCCTGTCATTTGTGTAGCTCTTTCTTTTCCAAATCTGTCTCCTTCCCTTTATCTCTCTTGTCTATTTTCTTATTTCACCCTCTTGTATATGATTTCCTCTCTTTCAAAACATATTATCTCAAAAATTGTCCTTTCTAAACCCTTTATGCCCTACCCTTTATTGCAGACTATAAGATTTAACAAGTTAGAACAAAACTTACAACAAATCAACTTCTTAGTTATAGCCAAATGGCGTAATAACGTCAATAATAATTCTCAGCAGAGAAGAGATATAACCATGAGAAAGACATCATCTTAGAAAGAGTGAAATTTGATGAATACGGGTCGATCTGCTTAACTTGGCGGAGGAAGAAGATGATTGGAGAGCATCTTGATCTGTCATAAACCCTAGAGGGGGCCGCTAGGTGATGAGAAACATACATGTACCGTATTGGGATGATTGCAGGCCGTGGGTGGTTTAGTGTACAGTACATGTATGTGGTATGGGACATGCATGAAGACTACATAATAATAATAATAATAATAATAGCTCATTCTTTTATAGTGCTTTGCAGGACCGCAGGCCCTCTCAAAGCACTTTACATATATAATATTACCCCGGCCATCAGATAAAGGCTTACTCGCACGTAATGTATGCACATTCTCCACTCCTTGGGGAGCATTCTGGCCAGACATCATTTTTACAAGCGAACACTTGCTCATCTAAACCACACTAACTTTCCCATCCTACTGGGTACCCATGTAACACCTGGTTGGAGAGTGGCAAATGTAGATCAACGTCTTGCCAAAGGACATTAGTGCCGCGGCGGGACTTGAACTGCGGACCTTGTGATCCACAGTCCAGTGACCTATCCGCTCGACCATGACACCTCTAGCCCATGTAATGACTCTATAAATTATTGCTTGATTTTTCATCTTTGAAATGAACTTAATGATGAAAATAATAATTTATGAACGAAGGATGCCAGTGCTACACAGGAGAAAAAAAACTCTCCTACAAACACAATGTTCATACACTATGCATGTATGTATAGGAATGTCTTGGTTTGTTCTCATTTGTTACGTACAACGGTACAAGATATTCAAAGCATGTCTAAGGACTCGTCGGAGACCTGTTGGCCAGCTTGGATAGGGCAGAGGGTAGAGACGCGATGGAATTAGGTTAATTTCATGTTTATATTTTCCAGTCTTGCCAAAAGTCAAATAAAATCTCATTCTTTTCATGTTTATTCCAGGGGGACGTCCAAAATGTGATATTTTCTGATGATTTCAAAGCTGTTAAGGACTGTGAATTTGATTATCCATGCTACAGAGACGGACAGCTAGTAACATCTGTAAGTATTATTTCATTATTTCTATGACTTCTGCCCATGTCCATGTGTGCAGGGGAATGAAAACAAGAAATGAAAATTAGGATGTGTGCATGACATTAAAACCATGACTCTGTAGGTTTCCAATAAGGTCATTGGTATTACAGACTAATCTCCCTATTAAAGGGATTATGTAATTATTACCTGTCATTTGGACTTCCATTGGCAATGTTTAATCCCACCAATCATATATCATGGGAGGGATACTCTCAGTGAAACAACAATTTTGGGGGGCATGGGGTCCAATACAAATATAATTATGATATAAATCAGTGTGGAGAAATAGAAGGAAATTTAAGCATGCTAATGTGAATTTAAATTTACAAGTTGTTGCTATTAAAACAAGTCATCTGACAAGCAAGTCTGATTGGCAGACTAAGGGAGCTTGTAAATATTCATAAATGAATGATACACACCAATAAAAACTAAAACAACAACAATAACAACATTAGTTAAAGAGTGATTTGATGATATGATACAGTTAGTTGAAAGGGGTGGAATTTTTGACGGGCTTCAAAAGCCTTCAAGTAATTAAAGTACTGTTAAAATGACAATTGAAAATCCGTCTTAGCTGATTTTACCGGTAATAAATTTTACCAAACATAATTATCCTAACCGTGAAATGTTTCTTAAGAAAATTGAAATTGTAGATAAATGATGGGTGTAGAAAAAAAATTGAAAATCAACTATTCCACAGTTACATGACAGATTCAAATAATGTTTGATGACATGAATGGAGAATATTACATAAATGAAAGGGCAGTAGTGAAAGAGAGACAGAGACTGACATAGAGGCAGACAATGAGATAGATAGCCAGAGATAGTTCAGAGAGTGGAAGGAAGAGAGAGAGAGAAAGAGAAAGAGAAAGAGGGACATGCATAAAGATATAGGAAGGCATATATATATATATATATATAGTATTATAGTATGAAGGGACAGATGGGAAGAGAGACAGTTAGATTGAGAAACTTCAAGGGAAAGAAATAGGAAACAAAGAGAAAGAGAACAAAATGTCAACAGTTTTATGACATGTATTTTAAAAGTCACTTAAAATGTATTTAGAGGTGGATGGGTATTTAGTATTTACCATGTTAATGAAAGATATTAGTCATTTTCCATCTGGCTCCTATCAATTTCTTGTTAATGTTAAATGATGTCTTAAAGAAGGACATTTGATGATTTCATTTCTTTGACTTTCTGAGTCCTGGCACAAGTAATTATTCTATTTGATATGAAGGATGAAGACGATCTTTAGTGTCATCATGCATTGATCACACTTGCTAACCTCTGCTGAGACCTAGAAGAGCATTAAATCTATTTTAAGTATATGAAGTAATGCCTGGGGTCTTAGTGTAGGAAATATTCAGGTTCAGTGTTATTTGATTTTTATGTAAATGAATTGTTTTGCTACCTCTTTTCTTGTTCACATTTTCTAACTTTCATGCTGACTTGAGTTCACAATTCAGTAAAAAGTTTTATATTTCCACATTTTCATGAAAGCATTATATTTGAAACAAATATTTACATATATATAAAAATTATCCAATATGAAAAGAACATGAAGATAATCCAAATGAAGAAGAAAATTTGAAAGGAGACAATAATAGATATAGGGCATAAATGTAGATGGATGAAAAGAGATCAATCAAAAACCTTAACAATTGATAGAGAACAAAACCTCATATATCAATAGCTCTTAAAATGCATTTTATCTTCCCTTGAGACAAATACCTTTAAATCAGTGCCAGTATGTATTGTGTTGCTGCCTCCCCCCTGAATATTTTTTCTCACAATTTCTTTGCTTTACCAGTGCTTTATTCTACCCCTGTCGTTAATAAAAATATTCCAGCCTTATGTGGAAGTCATTTGGAGACAATGACTTTTATCTATGTTGACACTAATATGTAAACCAGGCTCAATCGACTCTATGTGGCATGATTATTAACATATGGAACGAGAAAGCAATGATCTACTCAATTAAGGCAGCTCAAATAGAATTTTGACCTATTGTTATGTTCAGATATTACGTGTCAGCATCAATTTATATGTCAGGGGCCAGGAAAAGGTAGATTGCTCTTGGTTTCCTCCCCTTTAATAGCTAAAATACCATAACAAGCCATCTGTTTTGTGTGATATATGTCAAGAATGACATGTAATTAGTGACATTCAATTTGAATCTGAGCAGCACTAGATTTTAATATGATGTGATCAGATATAGGGTCAAATATTGAAAGGAAATTGGAAAAAGTATAATCTGTCAGTAAATATTCTAATCAGGATAATTTAATCAGGCATTATCCAGTTGATCAAGACTCCATGAGACCAATACACCATGACTCTAACACTTCTGTTGGTTTATAAGATCATATAATATGACATATAAGGCGCATTTATATTGTCAAATACCTCATTAAACAAATTGAGATGTTTTGCGCTCCCATTTTCACTTGTGCGGAAACATCACCGATTGAAAAGCTCAGTGATGTTTTGGCGTGTTTTGGTTGGTAATGCGCACATGCAGTCTTCCCAATGTAAAATGCGTCTTTGATCAGCTGTTTTTTACGCTGTGTCTGCTGCAGTCCAGTGAACTCGATTGAAAATATGAAAATAATGCAATATTTTGAGATAAAAAAATGTACGTTACAGAATACAATGTGCATGAAAAATATAAAAAATCAAGAACAAATATGCCAATTTGTACCCCAAAATAGTCTTAAAATTTGTTTCTCCATTGCCAGTTTAGAGACTTCAATGATTATGTCAATTGAATTTGCTCAGATTCAGGAATGGTACAATGAACTGCAAGAGAAGTGGACTCGACCTTTTCAGTGATTTTGTACTTTTCATTCATGTTCAATTTGTTATTCAGCGCATTCTGGATCAAAAGATAAAACTGAAATGTCACTAAAAGGTGACACTTAACTGCTATGTGTGGGTTAAAGAGGATTCTGGATCTCCCCTGTCCTGGACTTTTGATGTCACAAAACCTTCTTTTTTTCGATCTAGTAGAACTACCTTTTTGTCAAATTGAGTACTATAGAAAAGTTAGGACTTTAGTAAAGTATGAACTATGATCAAAGATTATTTATTACCATTTCAATTCAATGATGCAGGCACCACCATCAACTGTGAAGGTGGAGACCACACCAGTATCTACAACACCAGAACCTACAACATCTGAACCAACAACCCCAACACCTACAGAGCCTAAGCTCCCAACACCAGCACCAACACCAAAGAAGCCAGAGCCACTACCAACCCCTGAAACACCAGAAGAAAAGACAACACCAACACAGAGCACTGGCGTTAAAGTCTCCTTAAAGCCAGAATTGCAATCCACAACATTAGAGCCTGAAGAGGAGAAGCCTACGACTCCCAAAGATTCTGAGGTGAAACCTTCCGCAAAGCCCACGGTGGGACCTGTCCTTGTCACCGTGATAGAACCTTACTACACGCCTACCTCAAAGCCTTTCATGACCACCGCCATAGTGGATAAAGAATTGACACCGGAACCAGGAAAAGATGTTACAATGGATATAAAGGATATTTTCACCACGACGATGCCTGTTTTGCCTATCACTGGGACAATGACTTCGGTAAGTATACCCATGGTGATGAGAGGAGTCATCTCCCTGGTATACCATTGCAAATTACTTTTCAACTTTACCCTCCCCCAAGGAACTTATGCTATAATTTCTGCCCTAAATCTTTGATCAATAGGTTTATTGTTGTTCTTTTTTTCAAAAGAAATTTATTTCACTTGCGATTTCTTTTCTTGATATTGAGTTTCATTTTAATTCAATTTATTTCATTTTGATCCAGTTGGTACTGCAATAAATAGTTCATTTCAATTCAATATCGAATATAATTAGAAGTCAGTATGACAGCCGTAAAGTACAATTTCTCTTCAGTGTATTACTTAAAGAAGAAGAATATTTCGCTGGTGGGTTTTAATTGAATCAATTTTTAATCTGATATGAATTCCACTGATTTAAAGGGATTTCATAAAGAGATTTGCCACTTAGTGAAATTTTTAAGTAGGGTCATATATTAATTGTATGGTTGATCTTCAAAAAAAAATTACTTTCCATCCATCATTAGATAAACAATGGTATCATTTTAGAAATCAAAACTGGAAGATATTTACCACTTGAAAAATGATAGAAACAATTGTAAAAGAGCTTTTCATTTGAATGCATTTTCTTAGAAAAAATTAGAATCTCTGCCTTGTCTTAAAGTGTCATACTAATCACCTGAATAAAAGAAATAATTTGAGTTTTGCTAGAATGTCTAAAATTAACCTAAAAAAACTTAACCTGCCATTATATAGGTAAACAGTTAGGGATTATGAAGAAAATAAAGATAACTTTAAACCCCAATCATATTTTTGAATATATTGCTCTCACGGAATCCAAGTCTGTAGTGGTCCACCTGTACACCCCCAATCAGTTATACCGGGAGGAGAGACACGAGGGTTACAGTGATTCAGTTCGATAACAGCTGGGGTCCCTTCCTTGAAGAGTTTTCCAGAATCTTGAGAAAAGTCAATCAGATTATTAACCAAGGTGATGGTGTCAAATGTCATTCCCTTCAGAATCACAATCCCTGCTCTTGCTCAGTTCTCTTACATTCTATTCAGAGGAAATACCTTACAATGTCAATACCCAGCAACTATCTAGTCATATAGTGTCTATTCCCACAGATTCTAGTATACATGGAGATATACATGTAAATGCACATAATTTGTTCATCAAATTGTGAATGGGAATGTTAACTGGCAGAATACTGATTAAGGAGAATTGGGGAATTAATGGGTATGTTCTTTCTATTTTTTTATGAAAGTTACCAATGTTTTTTCTTCTTCTAAGAAAATAAAAATCATTCCTATGTAATAATTTGTCCCCATTGAATTTACACCCATTTGCCTGATTCAGCAATTATGAATCAAGCCCTGTAAAAACAATTGAGATAGTAGTTGACAAAATTTCTGTGGAGGAAAAAAAGTTGATCTGATTTGATATTATTTTGATCCTGCTGTGAGATATACAACTCTGCAAAGTGAAGCTATGTCTATTAGCCAATCAGATTCAGTGAAGCTTTGTCCATTAGCCATTCAAATTCAGTGAAGTATCCAATTTCCTGAGTTCACATTGATTTGTTACTCTTGTACGTTCTAGAATCCGTTGGCTTTTGCTTCTTTCTCATTCATTATTATCTATATTTTTCCTTTTTTATTTCCTATGTGGGATTTCTCATTATTGCAGATAATGTATTATTTTAGTGAAGTTTGGCTTGACTTCATCTAAATTTTCAATTTTCAGTGCTTTGAAACTGAATTTAAGTAAAAATATAAAATAGGTATAAAATAGAGCAGAATAGTTTTTAAAGTTTAGAAGCTATTTAATACCTTGGGAAAGTTGCATTTGTATGCATTTGATAAAGTGGACAATCTCCTTAAAGTTCATCAATTCTAAATCACCTAGAAAATAACTGTTATTGCCGAGACCTTCAAATAACAGAGTAGCCAAGTTTGCAACAATATGGATGAGTAAATATGACTCCTTTTTTTTAGGATTTTGCACAAAAGAGTTGATGTTGCATTCTTGGTGGGTTTCAGTGAATAAAATCTGTTTTGATAGACAATTTCTTGTTTGTATCCTACTGTGATGAAAAATAAAAAATATAGTAGCCACTGCCTCATGGCACAGAACTTTCCAGAAATTGCCATCAACCAATCGGGTACTGCCAAATATTCCCTAATGTAGGTTGGCCTGTGGAGCTGAAATTAGGCGTGACAATAACTTGCCTTGAGCGAGAAAACAGATGTGTCTACTCTTTGCTTGCCTGCCGAGATGAACCGCCTGAGATTATGCAAATTTCTCAACCTCTGGTTTATTTTTAGATATATGTTTACATGTAAATAATAATTAATTGTAGTAATAATATCATATACTTTTCATGATATATTTTTTATGATACTATTGTTATTTTTTACATGTGTTGCAACTGTAAATAATGAATATTCAAATACCAGAACTTACAAATGAAAGGAGGTACATAAATATACATTAACATTTCATTTCATGTTCTTTATAAATTCGCTTAAATATTAATAACATTTGCTTACGTGTCGTCTGATATTCAAAAGCACATATATAAAAAATCAACATTAAAAAATACCAAATATTCATACAAATAAACAGAATTCAGTTATATTGCAGAGATAAATTCCTGTAAGGAGAGAAGCTTTCCTTCTCTTCACACAAGGGGCTCCCTCCATGAGAATCCCCCTGACAGACGACTTCAAGCTTACCTACGAGGGCGTAGCTGAACAGTCGTCTACATCTGATGGGGCTGCTAGGAAGCGTTCCTTTTGCAAAGGAGTACGCTTTCTGACCGAATTCATTCTTGCCTGACATTTCCGATGTGGGTTTGAGACTTCGTCACCGAGGCTACACGGTCAAGGACAGACAGATGCGTGACTTTGAGACCCACTCTGTAGTCCCAGCTCGATGCCCATCATCGAGACCATGTACTCCAGGAGAGAATTTGCACTTTCCTCCTTAGGAGTTCTTGAAAGGGATATCCCCTCCCTTTTGACAGGATATTATCCCCACTTGGGGGAGCATCTGTTTGGGAGCCATTTCGCCACTGTCCTACAGCGCAAGATTGACTCGCGAAAACAGGCGACGGAGATGGCGAAGCAACTTCATCCTTGCAAACCGCACCTCTTGTGGCGGCACCTACCACTTCACAGCCCAGGGGTGGCCATTGGCCTGCTTGCGGTAGTTTCTCCTTCAGACGTTGGGGGAGGGGGGCGCTCCGGCCAGACCCAAACAGGCCTTTTAATGGCCCGCCTTGAGCGGTGGAACACAAAGTAGGCAGGTGGCCTCGGTTTAACCTTCCCGCTAGGGAAGCTGTTACCGTTATGCGAGATGGCTTCTGCATAAGTCTTCCAGAGCCCCTCCGGCACAACCACTCTCATCTGTACGTGCCTGTCCCTGATTTTTGTGATTCTCAAACGCTTAGGGAAATTAAGGATGATCCTGAACATGAAGGTCAGTCATCAATACCTACATCCCCCAGGAACACTTCCAAATGGAGACACTAATATCCATCCTGCCAACAATCAAGCAAACAGACTGGGCCATCTCGCTTGATTTGAAGGACGCTTACTTTTACATCCCAATCCATCCACACTCGCGGGATTCTGGGACTCACCTTCCAAGGCGAGACCTTCAGGTTTCATGCCCTGCCTTTCAGGCTTAGACTGGTCCCCCAGGTTTTCACCCAAATAGTGTCGGCTTTGGTCCCTTTCCTGAGGAATCACGGCCTCTGTCTCCTTGTTTACCTAGACGACTGGCTCTTGATAGCGAATTTGGGGACGGTCCTTCAGAATCAGTTGCACCTGGTGCTCCCGAATACACAGGAGCTAGGTTTTATAGTCTAATGGGAGAAATCAGAGCTGTCCCCCACCCGTACCCCAGTGTATTTGGGTGCGGAGATATACATCCCGAACCAGGTTGCTCGCCCGAGCCACGACAAGTCTCAGAGTGACATCATGACATCACTCCTAAAACTTTACCAGCGATTTCCTTGGCTGCATGGTCCCTGCGTCTTTCTCGCAGAGTGAGAGCTAAGTGCTGGCTTAAGTTTCTAGGCAACTTCACCAGTCTGGTGGAGGTATTTCCAGATTGCAGACTTCTGATGTGGCCATTTCAGAGGCACCTCGTGAAGTTCTTTAGGCCGAGCATGGATTCCATTACAGAAGGAATTCTTGCGTCTTCTCGCCCCTTGAAAAGCGAGTCCTTTCTTGCTCAGGGCAGGCCCCTTCGTACCCCTCTTCCATCTGTTTCCCTCATGATGGATGCGTCCCTTTTGGGCTGGGGCAGCCATTAGCTATCTGTTGGCAGTGCGTGTGCATAACCATCGTAAATCAGCCCGGAAAGAAACGAGCAAAACTAAGATAAAAGATCTGCCTAAGGTCAATGCTGCACTAGAAGAGTTTGAGGGCACAAGCCCCCTCCCCCAAAAATATTCAAGCCTTCCAATTTTAAACTCACAGAGTACATGTACTCTGATTTCAATGACCCCCTGCCTTGACATTTCCAAAGAAATGGCATTTTCCTCACTGGTTACTTCCGGAAATAGTTGGAAGTTAAGATGTATGATAACAATGAAATACACACTGTATCATGATTTTATGATTACTGCAACTTATCCCATTCTGTCCTAGAAATCCCCACACGCAAAATAAGTGAAGCACTGAAAATTTTCTGTGTTATGGAGTTAAAGTGTCCCTATCCCTGTCTCCTGGCGAATCTAATTTTAACCAGAAATTACTCCGTGGTCAGATTCATTTGCATTTAGTAAAAAAGCAAACAAGACATCTGTTTAAATCGCTTTTGTAAAAATCGACCTATTCAATAGAACTTAAAATGGAGACAGAGCATTGGTTCAAGAAAGACTGAGAGCCAGTTTAAGCCGAGGTTTACTGTTTAATTCGGGGCCAAAGGGTACTGTACTCTTAGGAATTGAATTCTGAAGACTTTTAACTTTTACAAGAATACCATCTGAAGGATAATAGGGGATTTTCCCTACGGTCAGGAATCATCAAATAGTGTCATTGGGCCACCTACACTGGGAGCAAAAATCTGGGGTGTTTATGACATTCCAGAGTAACTGTGTCACAGTATTTTACAAACACATTATATAAATATACACACATCTAATGAACATAAGAAAATATTTATAAATACTACAAGGACATACAATGATTATTTGACTAGTTAAAACAGAAATAGACGTTGAAGTCTGAATACCGGTAAACTTATTTTATTAAAAATCTGTTCCACTGGCTGTCTGCACTAACAACAAAGAAGACAAAAGACTTCATGCATGGCTGATCGTCAGCAAAACAGAGTTTGTTGTTTGTTGCTACGGCAGGCAGCCAGTGAAAACGAATTCATTTAATAAAATAATGGAAATGCAAGCATTACTTAAAACAAACAGAAATTTGTTATTCCTGGCATATTTTTGTCTCGCCTGCGTAGCAAAAAGCGAGACATATGCGCCGCTTTTCCGGTGATGGCGACGGCAACTTAACCTAAGGTTAAGCTTTTGAATTTTTGAATAATTTTTAAAGTATGAGTTCTTAGACAATGAAACTTAGGCTATAGGGTTATCAAGTATCCTAAATCATGTGAGTAGAATTTCAGGTCACTAAGTTAAGTTCAAAGGTCATTTAAGGTCAACAAACTTAGACTTTGTTGTAGCATCAACATCAAGATTTTAAATTTTTAGCATATTTTCAAAATAGTTTTGTTCAAATTCCATGAAACTTGTACCCAAGGGTTATCAAGTATCACAAATCATATGAAACAGATTCCAGGTCACAAGGTCAAAGGTCATTTTAGGTCAGTAGACTTGAATTATGTTTTCACAACTTAATATGAGAATTAATAATTTTTTATTTTTGTATTAATTTGTTCATATTTCATTCAAGTTATCAATCCTGGTACAATTAATAGTAAATATTCTTCTGATGATTCTTGGTCAATATTCACTTCAAAATGCTGATTATATTCAGAGGATTTCATTTTTTGGGGCCTGTTAATGGGCCACCCTGCCTATAAATAATGTTCCAACCTCAATTTTTCATCATATCAAATTGCGTAATGCAGACGAGACCGTCGAGAGCGTTTCCCTTGTTCTTGATTGAGGTGTCATATGAAAGGGCAGAAATGAACTTTCTGGAAATGTGATTTTGAAATTCAGATACCGTTTGCCAAATGACTTTTTGGTACCCTTTCTTCAAATTGCTTTTAATCAATCACGCATGAAATATGCACCATGTGAGTGGCATCAAATGAAAGAAATTTTTTCTGGGACGCACTGTATACATTGCTCTCTGACATAGTCATTTCGTCTGACTGATATATGAAACTTGAATGCATGAATGAAGAATGCTAGCTCAATAAATCCTTTTTGATTTCCATACTGATTGCCATCAAGATGTTTGAAATGTCCTCTAGTCCTCAGATGAATCAAGCCAATGAGGTAATCCATTGTGGATAAAGCCTTTTGAATTTTCATACTGATTGCAATTAAGCTCTATAGCTGTGCTCTAACAACCACTTGGCTATAAAAGATTCTGCTATCTTGGCAAAATAACATGTAATGGCTATTAGCCATAGATCCAAGATGCTAGGTGGGTATAACTTAGGCACAGGTACTTAAATTGGAATGGGACCTTAGATTGTTGGAAGGATGAGTTAAGAATGTCTGTAAGTGGAACTGATAATTTTTCGTACACTCTCTCTGTCCATTGCTGTCCCTCTCTCTCCCTATCTCTTTTGCCTCCCTCCCCCTATCTCTCTCTCCCCTTCTTACCTTTTATTAAAAGGACTGAATGGCCATGTTAGAGACAAGAGTTGTTCTGGAAGAAAGTTATAATGCTATTTTTGTTCTTCTTCTCTATGTTTATATCCTCTCTCTTCCTCTTACATTTGACTGAAAGGATCGAATATCCATTTTAGAAACGGGATTCCCTGGCGTTCCTGATGGTCTCATCGATTACCTCCAGAACAACGATGACAATGAGGTTGTGGTCTTTCTTCTTGAGCAGCTCAGGGATGAATATCCAGTGAGTACACAAATGTTTGATATGTCCCTTTAAACGCATGTGTACCAAACATCTTAGGCGATGTCAAAGAGATGTAGCTGTCAAGTGGATAAGTCACTGGACGTACTGTAGATGGCAAGATATGGGGCTTGAATCCCAGACCGGCACTAATGACATTTGGCTAGACGTTTATCTAAATTTGCCACTCTCCAGCCAGGTGGAAATACGTGCCTTGGCGGCTCAGCAAAAAGTGGGGTTTATACAGTATCAAATCGTCTTGAGTGTCACAACGGGATAGATAGAGCTCTATATATTATAGAGAGGCAGAATAGTGTAAACTCTGTTAAAGAATATAAGCTGATGCCTTTGTCACTCTCAGCAGACAATAATAATAATAATAATAATAATGTGACTTATATCGCGCCAAATCCACTCTGTGGAGTGCTCAAGGCGCGTGTAAACAGGAAAAACGATCAAGACTTGAAAAGGAATGTTTTGAGATGAGTTTTGAAAGAATCAGAAGATAAACATTTTTTGATGTCTTCAGGAAGGCCATTCCATAATTTAGGACTAGAGTATGCAAATGATCTTTCCCCCCACGTTTTGGTAATTTTGGGGGTTACAAGAAAATTGGAAGTGGATGAGCGAAGAGCTGGTCTTGCAGGAGTGTAGTTTTGGATTAGAGAGATAAGGTATTGAGGAGCAGAGCCGTGAACGCAATGAAAGGTGAGCAACAAAATTTTGAAAACAATGCGATCTTTTACTGGGAGCCAGTGTAGCAACTGCAAAACTGGGGAAATGTGGGTACGCTTGGTGGTCAGAGAAACAATACGAGCTGCAGCGTTTTGAAGCTTCTGGAGTTTGGACAGAAGATTCTGGGGTAGATTGATTAGGAGGGCATTGCCAAAATCAAGACAGGACAATATTTTTTGTGAGTTTTTTTTTTTTTTTTGGGGGGGGGGGGAGTTGTTTGTCCATCCCGCTCATTTATCATTATTGCAATATCGAGAGCCACTTGAGATATAGACTTTAAACTTGATGATAGTACGGGTATGCACCATCATAGAAAGACAATCTGATTGGATTTTGGAGTAAATATGTCAAAGATTAAAGGTCACAGAGGTCAAGATCATAGTTATTAGTTGACATTTAATTATAGGGTTTCTGTTGTCATTGTGATATTTCACAAATAATTCCATCCATTCCCTATACTGAATTTAGAGCGGAGGAATATAGGAGAATGTATTCATTCATTTTTTTGCAGACGATAAAAGGTTTGCCTGGCCAACGTGGAGAACCAGGAAGACCAGGAGTACCTGGACCAGCTGGACCAGAGGGACCAAAGGGTATTGCTGGTGGGGTAAGACCACTACATCTTTGTATTAGAAGAACTATTTTAGAGACAAATCCTAGCAACGTACCTTATGTTATTTTGTCATTTGGTGCAGTGAAAAAATAAGGGCTCCTTATACAATTTTCATATTCCGAAATTCAGTTAACATGGCCAGAATAATCACAAAATAAGCTTTTATTTCATAATGAAAACAAAATAAAAATAGTGGCAATCATAATGGAAATAGATTGCAATTTCACAAGTTTCATGATGTTTCACTATTGTTAAGTGAATCGTCTAGTTTCAGCTAATGATCCATCCAAACAAAATCGACCCCAAAAAACATGGTCCCTAGGCTCCGTTTCGCACCCGAAAATTTTTCGGGTGTTTACGACATTGTAAAGTATATGGATCTAGTTATTTATGACTGAATTTGTGTATACGATTTACATACCTGCCAACCCTTCAGAATAATCCGGAATATTCTGATTTTCCGGATTTTTAAGACCTAAAAATTCAGAATGTTAATATTTTTCGAAATTTCATTTTTTTTGTTTTTTTTGTTGCTAAAGCCAAATTGAGCTTGTTTTATCATGTGCCACGATATGAGAGTTCAAGTATCGCGTGCGTTGAATTACTGCATTGCTTGCATGATCGAGCAGCGAATTTGTTTTCGCTTTTTTGAACAGATTTAACGCATATTGCCAGTTACACTGCCGCTGCATGTGCGAATGCTGTACACATTTCTTATTTTCGAAGGCATACCGTGCTAGAAATTCCTAATTCTTATTTTTAAATGTTGGTAGGTGTGGATTTAACACAGAGATTCATTGCGCACTTGCGCGGTGACCAAGAAATACACACAATGAATACTAGGCTAGGAGAGAGCGGCCGCTTGTAGTCGTGCTGCAATTGTTACGGGGGCGATATATTGGACCATTTCCTTTGGCAATTTAAATGTAGTGGTCTTGAGTTTGAAAACTCCTTCATTGTTTGAACTTTCATACTCTTGAACGAAGGGCAGTTGATTTGCTTGGTATTCTATGTAGTTCAAAAGTGCATGGGGTTTAAAAGATGAGAAGTTGCAAGATGCATATTTTAGCAGTTGAGTAAAATGTGTCATGGTCGTTCAAGAGGGCAAGCATTTAATGTAAAAAGTGCAAACTTCTAAACTGACTTACATGTACATAAGTATAGAGAAGAAACATTTGAAAGCTTTGAAAACGAGCAGGATTATAGTCTAAAAGGGGCACAGCTAGTTCACTCTTATGAAATTGTGTGGCATCCCCCCCCCCCACTCGGTCGTAGGATAGAGAAAGATAATACAATGGTAATGTTTGCAATAGTTCCTTTCTTTTCCAACTACCAAGATGGCAAGTATTGGACTACCAGGGGCCCTTGGTCCTCCAGGAGAAGCCGGTCCACCTGGCAAGCCTGGACCTGAAGGGGACATAGGTGCTCCTGGACCTCAGGGCAATCAGGTAAGTTGTCCATTATTCAAAGGCTGTACCTTAAAACCTGGTTTAGGAAGTTTTGACTCCAGATCACATTTGAGTTGTGTAGAAATCAGTGTAAAAATATGTTTTTGTTAAAGTGAAATCCAACCTCAAGAGAAAACGAGTGAAGCAGAATGGTCAAACTATGAACGAAATTGGACAAAAAATAAGAAAGTCATGATTTTTTTACAATCTATAATCACTATACATTTATATGGGAACTTCAAATTGGCTGAATCAGTAATGTTACTGTGGTGTAGTTCCAGACTTTTTCCTTTTTATTCCAACACCCAAAATGACTTCAAAAGGGAAGAATTTGGTGAATGAAAAGCCAAATTTGAAGGACGAGTCGGCAAATGCAAAGCTGAAGTCAAACAAAGGGCCCAATATAAATACACCCATGGCCAATGCCAAGCCGAGAAAGGGAAAGACCTGAGAATCCAAAGAGAAAAGTAAAGATAATCCTCTCATGTCCGTGATGCACCAACCCCTTCAAGAAAGAGCTGTGTTAGGGAGGCACTGATATCGCCCCCTCTTCACTGCCCAACCCGGCAGAGGAGGGCGACTGAATTATTCAGGCCCTTGATCCAAGCCATCCTTCCCCCATCTTCATGTGAATGGATTCAACAAGTCATCCCATTGAGCAAGCAACGAGCCGGCCACCCCCCGAGAGAGCCGCGCTGTTGCTTCCCAACTAGACCCGGACCTGGATGACAAAGCAGATTTAGCATGGATCCATGAGAGAGAGAGAGAGAGTGAGAGAGCAGGCATCAGCAGTATGAGGAAATTTCTAGATACTGCCCGAAACAGTGGACCAAAGAATTATGTCGAGGAGATATCTTATCTTTATGATTTTGTTGCGAGATAGGGATCGATGCATTCTGATGCATGGGAAGATGTGCATATACAGATATGCGTCGATTCCTTTTACCTTGATTAGATTTATGTCGACTCAAAATTCAACCTGATGTTTTGAAATCTACTTGATGGAATTTGAGTGTTTACGGTGATTTGACCATGGTCATGATTTCTCAATGCTACTCCATGACAAGTTAAGTATACAAAAATGTAAATAGCACTTTACAGAACCCTTTACAAGGTTGGGAAAGGTGAAACAAACAAAATTGTCACTCTATGCATAGAATCCAATGCAGGGCAAGGAAACAGTCAAACTTGGCACTCTGTGGAATTTGTTACAAGGTTAGGAAGTGCAGTGTAATAATAGGCCCTTAATGTTTATATTTTTTCCCAATTTCTTTCAAGTGGAGATTTCAGGTTTGATATAAAACCATGTTGGTGACAACCATATAGTGTTCTATTATCTATCAGTATTTTAAAAGAAAACAAATTAAGGTGTAGCTTAAATGCAGAACATAGTTATTTATTGCAAAATTGGTGAAAAATGTTACAAATCCAGCCATTTAAAAGTAGTCTTGATCTCAATTGTGAGGAATGCAGTGAGTCATAGTTTCCATGATTTGTTTGAACTTCATTTCCTTCATGTTGATCTAATAAGTATACCCCCAAGAGGGTCATATTATGTCTTATTTACTGCAACATTCATGCTGTGTAGTGGAATATAAACTGGAAGTAAACAAATATAGAACTTGTTTGCTTTCAACTCATTGGAAAACCATTTTTTCATTTGACAAATGTGTTCAGTTGCTCGCAATCATAAGAAAATGTTTTTATGATACTGCCCTTGTATAATCTATGTGAATAAAATGTTGTACTATTAGGAATACAAAATTTGCTCATGCAGCTAGCATGACTAAGTGTTTGAATTTGGGCCTTTTTTCTATAATTAAAGATTTTGATTTACATTTATTCAACCTTGTTTAAAAGTAGAGAAAGGGAAGATGTAATATGCATCTTCAGTTATAATTGCACATACGCTTGTACATTCTTGGGGCAGCTGTATGCATGAAAGTGATCTCTCAGAACCTGCTCATTTTTTACCATGAAGGACAAAAGGTCAACCCATTATTTGACCTTCAGGGAATTTTTGTTTACAGTAGAGGTGTGTAATGTGAAGAAAAAATCTTGCCATGTCATAGGTACGATTTCATGTTGAAGTCAGTGTGAAGGTAAGGAATAGAACACTGTTGGGAAGATTGTAGAAAATGGAGGCGTCGTCAGATGAAAATATCATGATACTCTTCCTTTATCATTTATAGAAAATATATGAGGGGGAAATTCTCTTTGAGATGAATTAGTGTGGCTATTTATATAAATGCCCCCAAATGATCATGCTGTATACATTGTATTTTGACAACAAACAAGTAATTTTTTTTCTGTAGCAGGAACTGATATAGTTTATCTCCAACAAATATATATTGTCCTACGGTATCCTAACCTTATAATGAATTTGTATGCCTATTGTAGAGGGTTTACAATTAATGTTACTTGGGTAGACAATTATTTAATTTCAAGGATGTGAAAATGTTTGTGATTTAACTCTTTACTTTATTTTTGATCATACTGCAAAATCTGTTTTCCTTTTTGTTAAGAGGAGTTGAGAGTGACTGACCTAATTTGGACCAATGGTTCAAAAATACCCTGTGATGAAGTCTGTCTGAAGTTACTTGGAGTAGTAAGGGTCTTATTTTGTATCCTTTTTGGGGGGTATTATGATGATTTATTCCAATTATCTAGAAATACACCAGAAATCAGTAAGATGGATTTTCTGTTCTTTTCTAGGGCCTAAGAGGAATGAGAGGAGAAAGGGGGCAAAAAGGTGAAGAAGGAATAGAAGTGAGCAACTCTCTTATATTAAAAGATCATTTCTTACTGACTTCTGGATCTATAGTTATATAATATCTCTCTAATTAGCTTGCAAAAAATACTAATGCTGAGACAAGCTCAAATTCTCTGCTTAGGTATGACCCTTATATAACACTTGAAGACATTTCATTTGTGATCATACACACAAAAATGGTACACTTTATTCTGTCATCCATGTTTCGTTAGTATTTATATTTTTTCTCTTTTTGTTGTTGTTTTATCTGGTTGTTGACATAAAAGGCTTTTTGTGACTGCAGAGACAGGCATAGACGCTTTTAACAGTTTTAAATGCATCCTCTAAACCCAGAGAGTTTAGCGATATATAGATTAAAATGCCAGAAAGTGGTATTACTTTGAAATGAAGATAGCTTGCTCACTTTTAGCCCTTGCATGGACTTTGCCACTGGGAGTTCTTACGTTGAAGTGGGGATGGTAGTAGTGCTATACTTTATTTACTCGTAGAAAATATATTTTAGTTCATTAACCAGGTATTTGCTTCAATATATGTAAACATATATTCAACCATGTTTATAGTATAAATATTTTTTTCTTTCCCACATTAAGAAGCAAACTATTGCCATTTATTCTTGTAATGATTTTCCTTTAAATTGAAAAACATGAAAAGATTATTACATATTTCTACCTTTCGACACATTCAATTTTTGGGAAATATTTGAAAAAATTATGTATACATTACCTGAAAACATCTGAAAATTATTAATTTTTAAAAAAAATCCATATATAAGACACATTCCATTATCCACCTATGTTTGCATTTTTTCTTATTTCTTTCTTGGAAATCAAATTATATTCTGGAATATGTGGAGGTCTTAAATCATTAGTATGACATGATTTAATGGGACGGACAGTATATTTCTTTGCTGTGTAGCGGGAACTCTATAGAGTGGCAAAGTCTGTGTTCACTTGCTCAGTGCTAACCTTGCGCTATGTTTGTGGAGCCTCAGACAGTCTGATATTAAACAGGATTCAGTTTGATTACTTTTTTGCTGTCCATACATACAAGATCTCTCACCATGTTTCATATGACACTGTATAGGGTTGTTCACATACCGTAATAGTATGTTTGTGTGGTAAGTGAAAGGCATGTGGGGATTTAAAAAAGTAGCTGCACGCAACATTTGTCCTATGTATACTCACTTAACTGTGCGTTATAAGATACAAAAATGTTTAGTGTGGTACATTTAAGTATTTTTTAAAAGCCTGTGGTAAACCACTGTGGTAAACCACTGTGGTAAACCACTGTGGTTTGCTGTGGCATATGTGAATACATCTTAATGTGTCTTATTTTACGGAGAGCGAACATCCTCTCGATCTACCATCTGCTGGTTTGATGAGATCTCTCACTGTATGAACAGCAAAAAGTAATTGTATTGAAACTTGGTTAGAATCAGAGGACAGAGGTTGGAATGAACATCTAGCTTTCGTCTTTTACTTCATAATCTAAAGCAGTTGAGAGGAATACAGATGTGCTTCTCAGATAACCAATAACATTGTTTCTAACCTTGTGCATTTTCTATTTTTGTTTTGAGGTACATAATCATTCTGACCATTCTCTAGCTTTGTTACATCAACGACTGGTAAAGTTAACAGTTCTATCATGTCTCTGATAGATCCAAAACAAGGACAGCCGTGCAATACATCTTTTTCTGGAGAAGGAGTGCATTGTATTTCAAAATACATAAAGAGATGTAAAACCTGTTTTTTACCCAATATGTGAAAAGTAAACAGTGCACTATATACTCGCCCAAGTTTGTCAAATGGACACTTATAATTTGTTGTTTTATGTAGTAGAGAGAAACCTTATCCAACAGTTTCTTCACATAAATTGCACTAGAAATACAGCTTTTTAATGCTATAGTACCATAGGATTGTAGTGTAATCTAATGTATTTATTTAATTGTTAGAATGAATGCATAACAATGCATGCAATATTTTCTTTTTGTTTATACTTATGTGCTCAGTTGCATGTGGATACCCACTCTTCAACCGATAGTCACTATAAAATTTCTAACCTTTTATTTATTATTATTTTTTTATATATTTTTTTTTAATCTCTGACTAATATTTTGTAATGGTTACCAGACACAAACTCACTCATCATACACTGAATGCCATTCTAGTTAAATTAATTGTATTAACATTAGACTAGGAAAGAAATTGAATATTTCAGGTAATCATAACGTATTACATGTACCTAGCATAGTTAACAATATTCTTCAGGAGTACCCAATTGAAAGATAAATCCTCCTATAGATTTTGAATAACAATCATGCAGTGAATACAGGACATTTAATAGTAAGAATAATCTTCTCTGCTTCACTTATCTTCATATACTAAATTTTTGATCAGGATGACTTACAAATTCTCTTATGGGCATGTTGAAGGTTCAAATTTGCAATTATAACAATTCAAAATTATACAGGCAGGGAAAAGTAATTGTGATTTCTACTTCCAATTATTTCTCGCTGCATCAATGAAACAAACATTAATTGATCTTGTTTTCCCCTTTCAAATTTTTGTGTCGGACTAGAAAGCCAGTTTTTATTTGTCTATCAGAACAAAAGTTATCGATGGTCGGTGGGCCTTTTCATTGTCTTTTACCACTTTGCTTAACTTTCAATTTGCTTGGGTAAAAATGACCTTAGATAAAGTGACATATGAATACTGTGAATCATCATCATCATAATATTTTTTATTTTTGCTTGGTATGAACAGGGAAGGGATGGAGCCCCAGGGCCAAGGGGAGATGATGGCAATCCAGGATCAGATGTAAGTAAAGTGAGACTCTTCCTAGCTTTAACCTAATGGCTACTGAATTCTCTCACCCCTATAGGCTTTTTACAGGAGCTACTGAGTCAATAAAGCAATGGGTTTGGAAATAGGAAATTGATGGTTTTAGAGACAGAGAGATAGAAATAGAAAATGGAGAAAAGGAGAGAGACAGAGAGATAGCAATAGAAAATAGAGAAAAGGAGAGAGAGAGAGAGAGAGACAGAGAGAGAGAGAGAGAAATAGAGAGAAATATAAATAGAAATGAAGAGATAGAGACAGAGAGAGTAGAAATAGAAATGTAGAGACAGAGAGAGAGAAATAAAATAAAAAGGGAAATGGGAAAATGAAATAATGGATACAGATGTAGAGGGAGAGAAAAAGTAATCGAAATCTAGACATAGGAGATAAGAACTGGTTTGCACATCAGTGAAGTACAAAAGATATTCCTTCCCCTTTTGAAGGTAGTGTACATCTTTTGCAAGCAGTGCCATAGATTGTTGATCAAACTGAGTCTATAATCATCTTGCAGAAAGAATATATAAATATATAAAATAAAATTTGAAGAATATATAATACACTCTGTGTGCCCCTAGTGACGGGTCATCGAGGAGGAGCTTTCTGAGTAGTACCTAATTATACTGGTTTGTGTTTCCCGTTATCAGATACCATGTTTCAATTTGGGCAGATAGAAACAATGCACAGCATTATAGGAGTTACAATTGAGACTTTATGCATGAGCTTTGATAGACATCTCTCTTCTTCTGATACCATATTTTACACAATTTTAATTTCTGATCCTGTAGGGCTTTGATGGATGGAAGGGAGAGCTTGGACCCCCTGGACCACCAGGCCCTGTAGGTGACCCAGGCGGGGGAGGACAGATTGGCCTCCAAGGACAAACGGTAACTCCTGAGATCCTCTTTCAGTCCATTTTGCCCTCCTTCTCTTTTTCTTTCCTTTCTTTGTTCTTCCTCCCTTCTTTCTCTTCCTTCTTGTCCATTTTACTGCTGTATGTAGTTGCTCTATTTTTCTTAATAACTGTTAACAGATTATTTTCTTTCCATTATTAATATTTTATGCATATTTATAGCACTTTACCATTAACTGACCAAAGTGTTAATTAAATACTTTTATTTCTTCTACTATGTAAAAGATGCTCCCATCCTTTATGACAAAAGTTCTCATTCTTATTTTTACATTGACAGATTTTGGAAGAAATCTGTAAAATCAAGTCGAATAATACATTGTACGGAAAGATATAACAGTTCATTTTTTAATTTCTTTATGTTTTCTACTATTTAAAAATTTGTGAATTCTTTCCTCTAAATAGAAGAATATGTTGAAAGCTGTCGCTCAAAATTATAAGTGATATTTAATGAGATACAGTGATAGAGGGAAAACAAAGATGTTATGTATTATATAGACAAAATTTGGAAGAAAAAATAGATTTAATGCCAAATATAGACAAAATTTGGAGAAAAAAAAATGTATTCAGTAGTATTGTATTTTGATGAGTCCAGTCAGTCTTAAAATCCTCTGTATTTTCCTCTTATATGAATAACCTTTGACCTACCTGCAGGGTATGCCAGGGGATCATGGTGCCTGGGGACCACCTGGTCCGATGGTAAGCAAGATTGTGAATACTGTGTTACATTATTATCATCTGTTTGGAGCTGCAAACGCATTAACCCATATCATGTAATGCCCTTCTTGCTCCAAAGAAATGATTTGATTGTGAGGACAGATGGTTATTCAATAATTTTTCGACAGAAAAGACACATAGTAGATATAAATATTGTTTAAATAGTTATTGTTTTAAATATGTGTTTATAAAAATCTTAATGTGCCCTTTCTGATGAAATATGATGGCAGGCTAAAACCAACTTTTTCTCATTCGCAACATCCATCTTGTTGCAAGCTTTTACCAAAAAAATATTAGAAATGAATAAGGCACGTAAGACAAACTTTTTTCTTTGTGAATTAAACAAAATCAAATTGACTTGAATCTTGCTGTAAATCACACACAAATTTGGGTATATAGCTACCAAAACTTGGGTCTAAAATTTCTATTTCTTGGTATAATTGTAAAAGCCTTTCTCCATGACATAATGAGAATGCTTTTTTTTTTCTTCACCTTTACCAGAACATGATTTTTTCTTTTAAAGTGGTGGCAGCAGTGGGATAGGTGATCTAACCATCAGAAAGTATGGTATTACTTTTGCTTTATAATATTTCGTGTTCAACTCGTATGGTCCTGAATAGACTGGCATTGATTTTGTTCCATGAATTGTACTTCATGCAGGGTCCTAGTGGTGAAGGAGCCGTACCTGGAGTCCCTGGTCCACCAGGAGAAATGGGGGATACAGGACAGCCAGGAGGATTAGGGCTAGCTGGTGTCTTTGTAAGTTTCTTTTAATAATAATAACAGTTTGTTCTTATATAGCGCTTTTCAGGACCGAAGGCCCTCTCAAAGTGCTTTACAGATATATATTATTACCCCAGTGATGGGATTCAGGCTCACCCGCAAACGACGTATGCACATTCTCCACTCCCTGGGGAGCATTCCAGCCAGGCGTCATTTTTACAAGCGCACAATTGCTAATCTAACCGCATTAGCTTTCGCATCCTACCGGGTACCCATTTAGCATCTGGGTGGAGAGTGGAATGTAGATCAATGTCTTGCCAAAGGACATTAGTGCCGCGGCGGGACTTGAACTGCGGACCTTATGATCCACAGCCTGGTGACATATCCACTCGATCATGACACCTTTACGGAAGAGATCGTGTGGTAGATAATTATAATAGGAACCTGTTTTCATAAAGTTTATTAGATGTAAATCTTTGCAAGATGTGGTATTTATGAATTTCTGTTTATAAGCAAGAACAAGTTCAGGAAAATGTGAATCGTTGAAAGACAATGTCAAATTATTTATTTGTGGTAGCTTATTAGTACAGAATTTATTATGTAACTTGGGCGTGTGTTTGTCTGCCTTATTTCAGGGACCGCCTGGAGAGGGTGGCCTACCTGGTCCAGATGGAAGACCTGGTGCACCAGTAAGTTTGCTACAATTGAGCCAGTGGTGTAATGCAAGTCCATCCATTGTGGGGGCGTTGGAAGGCATATGGTCTTACCTTCTACTACATTTCACTAAGCTACCTTACCATAACTACAAAACGTGAACAACAAAAAGCCATGTTATTTAATTTCATTACTTAATGAGAGTAATTTGTTCAATTCCTGACTCTTGGCCTTTCATGAACAGTGGACTAACCTGATTAAGGTCTAAACTTAGCCCACCTTTATGAATACAAGCCTGTGGGATTTTTCCTTTAATGTTAGAGTGACATAAAGTGCCTCACACTTGGCACTCAATACATCAGGGTCTAAGGTAATACAGGTATTAACCTATTAAGTCTAACTACCAACATGACCACTAAATTTAGCCATTGGAGTTAACATAATTGTTTGGTTGATGTGTTGTTGGTCTGTTGTCAGAATTATTAACTCAGTTCTAGGCTCTTCATGAATATATCCCTATGTGAATATTTCTTTTAGGGTCAGAAAAGAATAAAGAACCTGATACTTGGTGTTCCATAAATCAGTGGACTACAAAATTTATCCAAGTCTAACTTAGTCCACCTATATGAATACAATCCTATGGGACTATTTTGTTAGAATTGGAATGGAATTAAGTACCAGACTTTTGGTGCTGCGTGAATCAGTCAGGCTATTGTCAGTTTCATAACTGTGATGGAGGTATTAACTCAGTCCACCTTGTGTATATTTTCCTATAGGGTCGGAATGGATCGGACGGTCAGCCTGGTGACCGAGGTCCTGAGGGTCCACCAGGAGACGACGGACCTCCAGGAGAGGGCGGTAGACCAGGAAACCCGGTCAGTATTCTCCCATCCCCCTACTTAACGTGCAAGAGCCCCGTAACACAAAGATCATCTTCATCATCAATCATTAAAATCTGTTGTTACTCCAATCTTGCAGAAGTTAATTGTATCTAACAATTTTTTATTTGTTTTTAAATTTTTTTTTTCCCCTTCCACAGGGTTCTTTATTTTCAAAACAAATTTCATCATATACAGAACATCCATATATCATATACAAATAACTAAAGAAATAATTTCCATACATAATGGCTTGACACAGATAATAATCGTCACAGCCAAAAACTTTTGTGGCAGATAAAAACAAACAAATGACAAAATTAGTACTTTAAATATATAATTAAAAAAAAAAAAAAAAAAACATAAAATACATGATCATGTTTATGTTAGCACATTTCCAACACTCTCAAAATATTTTCTAAAGTGAAACCATTTCTTTTTCAGTTTATTCTCTCTGAGATTTGTTTGGTATATATATTTTTCCATTTCATAATAACGTTTTACAGCTGATAAAATTATATCAAATGATGGTAGTTGATTTCGTAATTTAGCTGAAAATATTTCTTGTCTTACAACCATCAGAACACAGTTGAGTGCATTATTGTTGCTACCGCAAAATCCAAACAATTTATTTTGATTTGTAAATTTGATCCTTTCCCCCGTATTACGAAATATCCAGAACTCTAACTTCGACCATACTTCATTAGAATAGTTACAAAAGCAAAAAACATGTATGATAGTTTCATCATTGTTACTACAAAAAGTACACTTCTTGTCAGCCACTACACCAAATCTTAACAAACTGTCCTTCCTATATAATATTCTATTTAAAATCTTGATTTGAAACCACCTCATGTTGATATCTATTGTTGACTGAAATGGAATTTGACAGTACGAACCCCAAAGTACATCTTGAAAATCTAAAAAACTTTTCCACTTTGTAAGGGCTTTACATTCTTTTACTTTGTTTTTTAGCAAAGACTGATAAATATGTGAACAACCAACATTTGTTTTCACCACAAGGTGCACGGCTTCGGGAATGATAGGTTCTAAGGCCTTACTAGGAGCTACATGTGTAGTCATTTTAAAACCTGACCGAATTGCATTACAAAGACCATAGTACTGGAGGAAATTTGTTTGTATGTCAAATCTCTGTTGAAACTCAAAATATGAACAAAAAGAACCATCTATTTTTAGGATGTCATTCACAAAACGTATTCCTCGTAAATTCCAAGCCCCCCAAAATACCACTTTGTCATTTATTTTAATGTGGGGGTTATTCCAGAGAGGTTGACTTGCAATGTCGTCAATAAGAAGTTTGACCAAGTCTGACCAAGCGAAAAGGACCTCTTTCCAAAATGGATTTGGAGTCAAGTCTGCTAATTTTCTAAAATAATGTGAGCCCATATACAGGTGAAAAAATAGGTTTGGGGCAAGAATGAATTGAACATGTGAAAAGTGAAACTTTCTATCGGAGAATTAGTTACAAATCTTCTAATCAATGATATTTTCAGGGATTTAGCATGAATGTAACTAACAATGCTATGTATATGAATTTGTAACATAAACTTAGATTTGATTGTAAATTTACAATAATTGAAGGAGATGGGGAAATACAATTAATTGTTACTCTTTACATTAAAGGGCCTAGACCATAGATAGTTGGTTCTCAACTTTATATAATAAACTTCAGAGGCACGGTAAAAAAGGGCATTTGGAATCGGAAAATAGTACGGCTCAACATTCCTCATGTAATAATACAATAAAACTATTGAAAATGCTGTTGCATATGAGCCTAGAATACGTCAGGGTTTAAAATGTTTACAATGTTTACCTTTAGTACATGTTTAAGGTAAAATAACTATTTAACACTTCCGAGATGTTTTTATTGTCAATGAATATATATATTAAAGTTTTTTAAAGCTAATAATTCAGAAGCTGAAGCAAAATTCATCAGAGATATGAATAAGAGTGTGTGTTACAGTTTTTATATTTCAAGTTTGTTTTAGAGGTTAGTGATAGGAATATTTTTTTGTCCAAGGTTGAAGTTGATTAGTGTTAGAATTTAAATTAGTGCTGTAAGTCAGACGCTATGTTCGTGTCCGGTTCGGTTCGGCAGAGTTCGGCAATTTTTCACCCGAACTTGGTTCGGTTCGGGGTTCGGTAATATAATAGCAAGCAGCGTTATAGCCACGGCGGTCGGCACTGGGTGGGCCGGCCTGCCTGCCGGGCCCGACCAGCACGGAGGACTTCTGCACACTGCTTCCGACCAGCATGAATTTCACATTAAAAACTGCTCTAAACGTAATTATTTGTGAAGAAAAATACTACTTACGTTCGTATTTCCGTCTTGAATCGTGTTTTATTTTCAAGTTTAAAAGAATCATGTTTTCAATTTGTCAATAAATGATATTTTGTAGAGATTTTCCGAGATGGTTGTTGTCTAATATTACAGTCATGAAAGCTGCCATCTCGAATAGAGACTCATGCAGGCTCGTCAATAACTGTTTTTTATAAGTTTTTATTTTCAATAGGAAAAATATAAAATCCTGATTTTTCCTGAATAAATAAATACCATACTATAATATATATTTATTTCATTATTTATATTGTAAAATTTGTCCGATATTGTTACAATTAAAATATAATTTTGTTGTTGAATGGATTTGAGCTGAGGTTGTTTTGATCACGAACATGTTTATGACTTGCGATCGCGACGTAGCGTGGTCAGGATTTGGGATTTAAATGGCGCTAGTGAAGTCGCGCCCACCACCGGATAGGCATAAATCACAAAGGCGGAAAATGGGAAAAAAGTAAATACAAAATGAGCAATCATGACATGAAAATTAGGTACAAAATGACAAGTTTATTAGCTTGCAAAAACATTTACATTTTTCTGCCGAACATCCGAACCAGGCCTTTGTGTTCGGTTCGGTTCGGTTCGGTTCGGAAGTGCCATGTTCGGCGAACTTCCGTTCGGTTCGGCGGTTCGGCTACAGCACTAATTTAAATTCATCTGTATTGCACGCAGAGCTCTTTTTGCTCAACCTGTTAGTAACTGTTGTAAACAGCACACCTCTATAAATCGATGGATACTTTGGTAGGTTTGACTGATTATAATATTGTTAGGAAATCGTCAGTGTGGTGATAAAAACTTTGTAACTCAATATCTTTTTCATAATTTTATAGCCAGGACAAATTTGATGTGCAACCCATGCAATTCTTGTCAGCAAAAATAATGTCGCAAGCTAACAGTTTCGCAAAATTGTCAATGCTCTTACTATGTTCCAAACTGATATAGGTCTGGTAAAATTTAAATTTTTTAGTTACAAATTTTGAGTTACAAGATTTTTATGTTGAAACGTAGCTGTCATGAAAATGAAAACATTTAAAGCCCCTTTGAACTAGTTTGGCATGGAAATTAGACCTCTATGCCAGTCACTGGCACTGAGGCAGTGAGGTGGTTATCTCCTCAAATCAGCTCTCAGTTAACAGAAGAAAAAGAGGATCATGGGGGACCAACAGGCACCGATTAGGCATTGTTTGATATATGAAGGGCGCAAGTAGCTGTAAGTAGTGCAGTGGGTCTTTAAGTCACAATTTGTTTTCACCCCACCAACACAAAATTGGTTGCTTGACTCCAACTGTTATAATGAGGGCTGTCTACTCCTCAGGGTAGGATGGGCCTCCCAGGAGATACAGGATCCAAAGGGGAGAGAGGAGAGGATGGAAACAGAGGCCCTCCCGGGATCAGGGGTTTGTTGGGAATGCCGGTAAGTAAAAGCTGCTATTGGAGTTAGTATTCTGTATCTATAGGCCTGACTTCGCTAGCTCGAGATTGCAAAATAGCCCGCTATTTCTGATTTTGGAAATAATCCCAAAGTTTCATATCGCGTCTTCATCAGCTCGAGACTTGACCTTGAAACTTGAACCTTGAGCTCGAGAAATTAGCTCGAGATATTTTGCTCACCATTTTCGCATAATGCGAGTCTTCGGGCTGCATGGTGAAGACGCACCAGACAAATAGCGGGATATTTTGCAAACTAGTCTAAGATATCTTGGGATGATTATCTTGACCAAATATATCTCGCTAATTGCATTTTGGGGCTGATGAAGATGCAAATTAACTGGATAATTTGCGATCGGGATAGTTCAAATAGCGGGGTGTTTGGCAGTCTCGAGCTGATGAAAACAGGCCTTAGGATTGTCTGGTTGGAGCCAGAAGGGTGTCAACTCATATTATTTTAGACATAGTTTATATGCCATGAGGCTCAAATAGACAATATATCTCATGTTATAACAATGTTAATTATAACATAATACTAACTTGGGTTTACCTGGTGTAGATAATTGAACTATAGCTTATTTGCCCCTCGTCATGTTTGGTAGTCCCAGGTATGGTGAGTACTGGTGGTCATTGATTAAATTTCTGTACTGAGCTGCCTTTGTGCATGCATGTACAGAAGAAAGACATTCGCACAAGCACCAATAAGTGCTATTCCATACAGTTTCAACTTGTCCTGACAATGTACATAGAAGACAGCATCATTTTAAGAATACGGCCCCAGACTTCAGGACAGAAGATTGTTTACTCTTGGTCCAAAGTAGGGAGATGAGTTTTTAATCCTGGGGGCGTTTCACAAAACTGGTCATCAGTGACAAATGACATTATTTGTTATAAGCTACTGAAATCCTTGCTTCTGATTGGTTATCAGCAGATTTGTCATTGATTTTTGTCATTTGTCATTGAAAAAAGGCTTTGTGAAACGGGTCCCTAGTCTGTTTACATAGATATAAAACGTTTAAAGATAATTCATCCTCTTGTTATGCATGACTTGCAGTTTGCATGGCTTAGTCTAGAAATTATGTAATTTTTATTTCTATCACTGTTTCCCATGAATGATTTAAATATTGATTTGATGTTGCTTCTCTCTCTCAGGGTGATTTAGGCCCGAAAGGTAGATCTGGTAGTAGGGGTACGATAGGAGAAGCTGGCCATAGGGGGTTTCCAGGGACCGGTGGACCTGCTGGACCTAAAGGTTATCACGTAAGTTATTGTTTCAGTTCAATTTCTATCCTGGCTGTGCAAGCTTGGTTAATTGGGGAGGAAGTCATGTACCTACTGGTTATGGTCATTAAAGCCTAGGTCACTAATGCTATTACGAACTGCTACGAACGCCGTACAAACAATTTTCAGACAATGGAAATTCGGGAAAGACAATGGAAAAACAGGGAGATTCGTATGATATTATCGTTCGTACGAACCTTTGTGACCGTAACATTAGTTAGCTGTTTCCATACCCAATCTGCCAAGCTGGAGCCACCAGTGTTCTCATTAGTTTTATTTCATCTTTAAATAAAATGTTCTACTGTGCTATATGTTGCCAAAATGAGTAATGCATCAATAAGTAAGTTTGAAATATTTGTTACAGATGCAATGAAGAGGTTTACCCATGTTACAACTTACTTCCACACAGATAGTTTTAAGTTCCAAAGAGTTGGATATAATAGCAATATCTATGACGATTTAACCTAGACTATCTGTTTATAATCTTGGATCTATTGTTTTATAATTGTGATTCTGCAATGTGTCTTTTAGTTGCTATATTTACATATGATATGTGATATGGGCCGCTCTTGCATTCAATACATTTCTTCCTTCCAGATATCCACCCAAATAGTGCTCAATGCCTGTACAATTAATAGATTCTTGACCAAAAAACTATACTCTGAAGGTGATACAATAATACATATATAAACATATTTAGGAGAAAACTCTTGAAATTCAGTTTTTTCATAAAAGTCGTCTACAGTCTCACAATCTTTCATTGATTTCTGGAATCTAGTCCACAACCAGGGAGTTGTAGACATTAATGCTCCCACTGATTTCCCAATGATCATTTTGTTTTAGGTACAGGTAGAGTACGTAGATTTATTGGATGAACCAGGGCAAAATGACTTGTGGAGGTTGATTAGAATAGAGAAGAGGTCCATAATCTTGAGATGATAAATCCACTTCACCTCTGCTATATCCAATCTAAAAGATATGTGACATCGCACCTTTTCCTTGCGGTTACAAAGCGCTGCACACACCGCTCCACAATGTTTGGGCCACTTATAACAAAAAGTTATTCACTTCTCAGAGATCAGTTAAGTATATATATATGTAGGCTAAAGTATTTTCTAGCAGAATATATGTGACTTGAGTAATTTCTTGAAGTGGTCAACAGATGAGGCGGTATATGTATTGTGAATGTTGAAGCTCAGTTTCTATTTTCTCACCTGACAGGGAATGCAAGGGGAAGAAGGAGACGGAGGAAGAGCAGGAACAGTTGGACCAAAGGTAAAGTTGGAATCCAGACCCAGTATTCAATTTAGTACTTTAATCTTGGTACAGTCAAACCTGTCTATAGCGACTGCCCAAGAAGTGGCCTTTGTAGACAGGCTCCTCTAGTACATGAATAAATGAGAAACCATTTTCAAGGGAAACAACAAATGTGGCCTTTGTAGACAGGTGGTCTTTTTAGACAAGTGGTCACTAAAGCAGGTTTGACTGTATATTACTCAGTCTTTAGCTCAGATAACATAGTTCAGACAACTTTGGTATTCAATTAAATTTTATGACTAACTATGACTAACTATTAAAATGACCACTATGACCACTATGACAGATTTGACTCCATTCCTCCTAGAGGATGACCACTACAGACAGGTGGTCTTTATGTAGAGTTGGCCACACGGTGGATACAGGTGGTATTAATATAGAGTTGGCCACTATGACAGATTTTAGCCAATACATCTTAGAGGAGACTACAGATGACCACTATAGTACAGTGGTCTTAATATAGAGGTGGACACTAAGACAGATTTTACCCAATACATCTAAATAATAATATGACAAATTTATATAGCGCTTGTGACAAAAGTTTCAAAGCGCTGTACATGTACACAAATCAAAATTACTTTTTAGAGGAGACTACAGATGACCACTTTAGTACAGTGGTCTTAATATAGAGGTGGACACCAAGACAGAATTTACTCTATTCTATACTAGAGGAAGACAATATGGTTGACCTTCGGCAGACATGTGGCCACTGTGACAGATAACTGTACTACCTCCAATAGATACAATATAAATAAAGTGACCACTGTGTTTGGGTGTGTGTTTGTCATTCACTATATGATTATTCATGTTTTTGAACTGGCCTCTAGTATGGCCATCCATAGGTTTCGAACCATATTGCAGTAGTTTTTAGGCAATAGAGTACCGAAGCTGTGACGTCATAAAAATCTATTTTTAGAATTTCTCAATTTTTTCTTCATTTTCCGAAAGAACATCAAAAATAATGACCAAATGTCGAAAACCAATTGAATATGTTAAATATTGGCTGAGATATGACCATCTGAATAAAGATACTCCCCATAGGAACTCAGTGTTATATGTTCTGGCTCCTAATGGTTAGGAGCCAGACCATATAACACTGAGTTCCCATAGGACATATATTCATTCGGATGGTCATAACTCAGCCAATATTTAACATATTCAATTGGTTTTCTACATTTGGACATTATTTTTGGTGTTCTTTCGGAATATGAAGAAAAATTTGAGAAATTCTAAAAATAGATTTTTGATGACGTCACACTTCACCACTCTATGACAGAAAGCTGACTGCACCGCTGTTAGCACAATCATCATCTATAGACAGGTGGTCTTTTTTCGGAGACTGATAGCGTCCAATGCAGGTTGGACTGTATTTCCTATTGTTTTATTTTCCATCTCTCATCTGTCAGAGCCAATATGGGTTACCCTTTTAGACAGGGGATGTTCATACAGAGGTGGCCACTATGACAGGTTTAACTGTATTTTGTCTCTTTTGACTAGGGTGATACAGGCGATGATGGACAGACAGGTCATCCTGGACAAGATGGTGATATGGGATTCCCCGGCTTACCTGGCATGGGAGGATCCCCAGGTCTACCGGTGAGTCAGATTAGGAGATGGAATCAACTTAAATTCTTTTTATATTTATGTAAAACTAATATAAAGAAGTGTATGAAGAAACACTTACCATGAATATATGTAAGTGAAGGTGGAGTGCACAAAAGAGACATACAAAACGTCGAGCCACTCCTGCCACCCATCCTCTCCAAGCGCTATAGTTCTCCTTAGAACTATATAATAAGAAAGATAACTTACAGTCTTTTTCAAGTCTACACCAACAGTCCTTTTCAGGACTACACACCCTCGAGAAAGATTACTGAGAGTTCTTTTGCAGGACTCAATCTTCCCTCTCTCTCACGTGGTGCATCCGCAAGCCCACTATATAAGAGACATATCCTTTAAATAGCAGTGTAAGAACTTGCTTTTAGAGAAGTGCCTTTTTGTGTATGAACCTCATACCATACCATGATCATTCGATCCCGATTCTGCATTTCTCAAGCTTTCTTTCACAATAATGCCCAACCTACATATCTCTACATGATGTTTTGTTGCACTACATTTTGCCCAATGACATTCGCAAAAGAACAGTTCTACGTGTAGTACCCACAAGTACCTGTCCTGTAGCTGATTAATTATTGTGCAAATTTCCATATATCGTTTCATATATAAATGCAGGGCTCACAGCATTTATTCACACTATCCTGTTTTTTCGACATTTAAAAGGAGGATAGTAAGAGACAACGAAAACAAATAGAGAATTGCAAATGTCTACAACAGTGGACACACTGACGTCCGTATAATGTGCTTTACTAGATTGCTAGATCATTGTTTGACACATTATGTCGCATCTTAATAAAATATCTCATTGTCAGATCCAGGGATTGTTGTGGATTAGTGGGAAATGGCGCCCATGAAATATGACGACCCATTTGTTGTTGTTGCTCATCAGAGAATTTCCAAACTTGTGCCCCTCCTACCCAAGAATCTTGGATCGGCCATTGCTTTTTTGTGTGGAATAACAGGTTTCCACCCGAGATATATTTATATTTCATCGTTTCTTTTCTTTTTTGCTTCATTTTAGGGATATGTAGGTATTCCAGGACAGCCAGGAGCTGCAGCCATAGGACCACCGGTATGTGCATGGTAGTGATTGAAGTCTTTAATGTGTTCTTATAAGTTGAAGGGTACTAATCATATAAAATATGATTTATGTGCATATAGATGTAGAATGTGTGAAATCAGTCCAGGCAAAAATTAACCTTATACTGATTAATTGTAAATGAGTATGAAGGAAAGGGTAACATAAAACTCAGTACAAGGAATCCAAGTTGGACTTGGGTTCCTTGCATGCCCTATTCTCTTTATTGGATAGATAGTCTACTCCCTTCAAGGTGCTTTTCAGTTTACCAAGAGTTTAATTAAACATACGTCTGTGTAGCTGTAATATTGTCATTATGATGGGGTTTTTTTTGACAGATTTTATGAACCAAACTTGTGATATTTTCAGGACAGACTTTCTTAAAAGACATCTGTCAGACTTAATGCAAAGGCGACTGTTTCAAAGATGCTTATGACTTTACTTGTGTTTATACCAGGGTCCTCCGGGGCCTAAGGGATTAATTGGAGAGCCAGGACAGCGAGGACCAGCAGGGGAAGATGGTGAAAGGGCGCCGACTGGGCCTAGGGGCTTACCAGGTGAACCAGGTACACCAGGACAACCTGGAAGGAATGGATCATCCGGAGTATTGGTAAGTTGGGCTGTACTTCACATTATATTGCAAAATATGTAATTGAGACAATTTTGGCTTTGAATGCAGTGGTACACTTCACCACATAATGTTCTATTCAATTCCATGGGGTTTATTAAGAATACAAAGTAGTTGTCCAGGGACTAATTGCACAAAGTACTCTACCATGTAAAAATGGCTATAAAATAGGATCATCGATTAAAAAACCAAGAAAATCAAGAAGAAGTTAAATTACGCAGTCATTACACCTCAAAAACTGAACACACATTCATACAAGTCAACAAAACGATTTTGCAAAACAGAAGCAAAAGATATTTTTTTAAACTGAAAATTCCAAGATACATAACTATTTGCCAATCAAAGCGCAATGTTGGATTAAAGAGAAATGAGACAGAAACTATATGTTTTGTAATACAATCATAAAGGAAACTTGTGATATTAAGAGTAAATGACCAATTGGTAGTAAAATATATATTATGGGAATCTATTGGATCTTAGAAGTCTTAACAAAATTGTTTAAGTGAGAAAATGTATGCATGTCTTATATCGACCTATATTGCACAAATTCCATTATTTATTCATTAATTTTCACATTAGCAGAAACAGAGCATTTGATTACAGAAGCAGAGCATATCAATTTTGTAACATATCCATTGTTAAAATAATGATAACAAAAAAGGAACCTTTAACATATATAAAACAATGAGTATAATACCAATGGCAATAAATGGCACTGTGACATGGAATTAATAAGTTTGGCAAGAGTTGGGACATTTGATTGTTTATATCGTTGACTTGCTTGCGGAATGTGTATGAGATGAGAATTTCTAAGTCCAGGTCACGAAAGATGTTGCCATTCAGTTGGGAGCAAGTCTTGATGGTGCAATGAGACATGGATTGGTTTCGCGAAGGTAGTGAATAAGTCATTTCCTATGTGTAGTAATTAGGAATGGAATGCTAAAGATCATGCTTCCCATTTCTTATAGTGATGCTGATCAGGGTACGAGATCATCCTAAGCGCCCTACATTGTTCTTGCTCTATATTGTTGGACTGATAAGTTTTCAAGCCACTGCTCCAAACCAGTGCACAAAATTCCATCAAAGGCCGGATAAACATGGTTAACATGAGCACAAGATCAGTGTTTGATACTCATTCCTTTTCAATTTACAAAAGTTGTAGAGGTGTCCGGATGCACGTTGGATGAGTTGTTCAACTTACACATCCCACTTAAGGTTTGACTGAATGGTAACACTGAGGAGGTGGAGTGATGATACAGATTCAAGAACTTTGGTAATCAAGGGTGGAGGTGGGCCATTACGTAGGAAACTGACATGCATCACTTTGCATTTTTCAGCCTTTGTTTTCATTGAATTAAACAGGCTCCATTCTGATGCATCTACACAAGATTGAAGATGACCCGAGTCTGATTTGTGGACAACTTATTAAGCGATAGTCAAGTCATCAACATGCTTTCATTTTTTCTCTGTAGTTAAGGCAGCGTCGTTGATCATGATCAGCAAGATAACAGGGCCAATTTTTATATAATTTTTGACCCATTCTTTATCATTTCGTTGACGGACAATGGAAATTTGTATGTCACGTGCTGTGACCTTTTCTTGGTTTTAGCGAAATAACCATCTGATCGCCCTTCATCACAGGGTCGTGATAGTCACCTCCATGTCTGTAAGAACTTTGTCCAGAACTGCATTTCCTCTGGTGGGTTTAGTAACTATCTGGCGTAGTAAAGTATGCATGCTCAATAAGCGGAGTCTTGAGGTCATTGACGTCTCCCATTATTAGGAAAGTGGCACTGTCTAACATCATGCAGATCGTATCAACCAAGTTGATGATGTGAGTACAAAGTTCCTCTTGGTAAGGAGATCTTGGCGGACAGTAAACAACACCAGCAAAAATATTACTTTTCCATGGTTCCCTTGAAGATGACTTCAACCTCGACTCACAGAACTTCAAGGTGTGGTGGTACAATGTCATCAAAGACTCGAGTAGCATTCATATCGTCACAAACAAAGAGTGCCACACCTCCTCTGATGCGGCTATCACGATCATGATGGACCTGATGAATTGATAGTGTTGATATTTTGAAATAAACAAATTTACAAATTAACAGTTCTGATTGATTTGCAAACAACCTTTTTATTGAGTTGAATTCTTTGACTGTCGATCTGTGTGAGCCAATTCCTAAAAAAAAGGATGAGGTTGATGTAGTTTGTCCTCTTTTGTGTTTTTTTTTCCCAGGGGGTTGAGGCAGCTGGTGGAGCTGCAGGAATCCCGGGACCTCCTGGACTACAGGTAAGCTTTCATAATTTAACTTCTGCCATGTGTCATGCCTAAATAGGGGATGCAACTGATAACAAACAGTTGTTACTATACATCCTACTTCTGCCACCAGGTTATGTTTGGATGTAGGATGACACTGGTAAACGACAATTAGTATACACTGCTGGCACCGTGCTATGTTTTGAAGTAGGATTACACTGAAACCTGGAAAAAATCTTATGGGAATGAGACAAATCAGTATTTAATGAATAAGGTGACAATTATTTGACATTCCAACACTGCCACCATGTGATTAGATGAAGGATGACAATATTAAGTATAGCTGCCATCTTGTTATGTTTCTATGAAGAATATGGCATTGGTAAATGACAAATAGTACACATCCCATGACTGCCACATGTTATGTTCAGATTAAGAATGACACTAGTAAATGACAATTATTATATATCCCACCGCTGCCACAATGTCATGTTTATATGTAGGATGACACTAGTAAATGGTTATTATTATATATCCCACTGCTGCCACAATGTCATGTTTATATGTAGGATGACACTAGTAAATGGTTATTATTATATATCCCACCACTGCCACAATGTCGTGTTTATATGTAGGATGACACTAGTAAATGATGATTATTATATATCCCACCGCTGCCACGATATCATGTTTATATGTAGGATGACACTAGTAAATGGTTATTATTATACATCCCACCACTGCCACAATGTCATGTTTATATGTAGGATGACACTAGTAAATGGTTATTATTATACATCCCACCACTGCCACAATGTCATGTTTATATGTAGGATGACACTAGTAAATGGTTATTATTATACATCCCACCACTGCCACAATGTCGTGTTCATATGTAGGATGACACTAGTAAATGGTTATTATTATACATCCCACCGCTGCCACAATGTCGTGTTCATATGTAGGATGACACTAGTAAATGGTTATTATTATACATCCCACCACTGCCACAATGTCATGTTTATATGTAGGATGACACTAGTAAATGGTTATTATTATACATCCCACCGCTGCCACAATGTCGTGTTCATATGTAGGATGACACTAGTAAATGGTTATTATTATATATCCCACCGCTGCCACAATGTCATGTTTATATGTAGGATGACACTAGTAAATGGTTATTATTATATATCCCACGCTGCCACAATGTCATGTTTATATGTAGGATGACACTAGTAAATGGTTATTATTATATATCCAACCGCTGCCACAATGTCATGCTTATATGTAGGATGACACTAGTAAATGGTTATTATTATATATCCCACCGCTGCCACAATGTCATGCTTATATGTAGGATGACACTAGTAAATGGTTATTATTATATATCCCACCGCTGCCACAATGTCATGTTTATATGTAGGATGACTCTAGTAAATGGTGATTATCATGCATCTTTAGTTGTGTGCTTTTTTAATGCCATCTTTGACAAATTGGTGCTGCTAGTCTCGTATGAAGTCTGAAATGACCACTTTTGACATATGAATTAACCGGCAGAAACTACAACAGCTTATCGCTTTTCTTGTTATATTCAGGACTCTCAAATTTCTTATAATATCAATAGGAGATAAAATAGAAAATATCATATGCACAGAGTAAATAAAACTTTAGAAAAATTTATAATGATTAAACACATTTCATATGCCTGCAACACTTTGAATATTCTATTTGTAGTGTGATATTTCCAATTGTAAACTTCTCCAAGTATATTTCTTTATTCTTACTTTTGCTTCTTGCTATTTTTCGAATTCTTTCAGGGAAGGAAAGGTGACCCTGGACCCATTGGAGAGCGGGGAGTTACTGGATTGGCAGTGAGTCTGATATTATGATCATTTTATTTCAAACTAATCGTGAGTTCTTATGAATAGAATTACATTTCAAGAAAAAACAGCTTGTATTCATTTCATCTAGTTGTGTTTCATCTCTTATTATAAAGTGACTAATTTTCGTACTTGGAGGAGAGACACAGTGATTCATTTTGCTTTCTCCCTCCCAGGTATAGGTGATTCCAAAGACCTATTAATAATGTGAGTATGTTTCTGTACACAGGGTCCTAAAGGAGAAACAGGGGAGCAAGGGGAGGCAGGCATTCCAGGACCCCTTGGCCCTCGGGGACCACCAGGAGATATTGGCTTTCAGGGACCGTCGGGTGAAATGGGCCTCAAGGGGGAAAGAGGCGGCAATGGAGTGAAGGTAATAATACAAATAGAATAATGTCTTGTTTACCAAGGGTATACCTTTTATTACCCTGGCTGAGCTACCATGATGAGACGTGCCAGTATTAAAGGAATTTCTTCTTACCACATACCCATTTAGCTATACCTGGGTAAAGATGTCTTAACAAAGGACATTTGTTCTTTGGAAAGTACACCCCTTTCAAATAGTCATGTTTTTATTATTGTATTGTATTGTATCTGTATGTTTTTATGTTTGGGGTTGCTTGTTTACAAGTTTTTAACTTATTTTAGCAATCCCGGTATTTATAATGATTTCATTTTGATTTTTATCTTTTGCCGAATATATTTGGAGTGAATTGAATTGAATTGAATTATGCACACTTTTAAACATAACATGCAATGTTGTGAACAAACAAGGAAGAGCTTCATAAGAGAAGCTTTCGTTGTACAAGCACCTAGTCATAAATTCAGAGTAATGAGAAAATAAAATTCAGATTATCATGGAGTATAGCATCATGTGACCTATGACTGATCTAAGGGCGAATGATGGGGTTGCTATTGCCCTTGTTCATTAGCTATTTGATCTTGTCACTTTTCTCTTTCTCTTTCTCTCTCAATCTCTTTTCCTTTCAGGGAGATGCAGGAAATGATGGAACAATTGGAGACCCCGGATCCCGTGGATTACCGGTATGTCAATTAGCCTAATTTGATTGGCACTGAGCAGAGTTATTGCAATTTGTATTTGATTTATTCACTGTAACATACACATGGATTGGATTTCATAAATAGAATTCTAGCAGTTGTTAATCTAAGTAAATTTTATGAAATGGTTCCCTATTATATAAAGTTCATCTATAGACACATATCTCAATTAATATTCTTTGCAAGAAAATAGTCTCTAAGTCTTGACATCCATATATCAAATAAAACTTGTGCATAGAGATCAAAGATCATGCACCTGGCTACAAAGACTTTTTATGCCTCTACAATGAAGAACCGATTGATGGATTCCCGCCAAACTTGGGTCATGTATGTGTCTTGCAAAGCCAATGAACGGATTAGATTTTGAGGTCAAAGGTCGCAGAGCTCATTATGTGTGCAAAAATAGCTTGTGATCCACATTATCATTAGAACCAATAGACGCATTACCATCAAACTCAAGGCATTTATGTATCTTGCTAGGCCAATGAAGTGATATGATTTTGGGGTCATGAGGTCAAAGATCAAAGGGTCGTACATGTATATGAAAAATAGCTTGTAATCATGATATTCTTATTATTGACTGAATGATGTTTTTATGTGATGTTCATTGTTACTAGGGACCTAAAGGTGATGAAGGATCTCCAGGCCCTGCTGGTGAGCTGGGTACCAGGGTAAGTGCCAGTTGTCATGGTGATGAGGATGTTGATGGTATTATGTTGACCAAGAATCAGATGCTAACTACAATCCTGGATCTAATCCCAAACCTAATCCTAGTGCTGTAGCCGATCCGCCGAACCAACGGAAGTTCGCAGAACATAGCACTTTCGAATCAAGCCGAACCAAACCGAACGCAAAGGCCTGGTTCGGATGTTCGACAGAAAATGTGAATGTTTTCGCAAGCTAATTAATTCGTCATTTTGTACCTAATTTTCATGTCATGATTGCTCAATTCTTTATTTACTTTTTTCCCTCTTTCCTTCTTTGTGATTTATGCCTCTCCAAATTTTTTCTGATTGTCACAGATCCCGGGCATCACAAAACCACGACCTGCACCATACACCAATGCAAAAGTTTTTAGTTTTATACATACCGGTACATGTATGTCATACTTATAATGATTTTGTAGTAGATGTATGTATCACATCTTGTAGTATGATAATAGATGAAATGCTCAAATTTGAAGAATTTTTTTTTAGAAAAATAACCAAATAATTTTCTCTTTTCCCTATATACTCTCAGTAATTTCATAATTGTATTAAAATTTCCCATCAAGGGTTTGCGAGGAAGGAGAGGGATGCTTGGATCTGTGGGAATTCAAGGAACCTCAGGAGGCTTAGGTGGGAATGGAACCTTTGGCCTTGGGGGCAGAGCTGGAGGAAGGGTAAGTCAGAGCATATTCTCTCTTATTTCCCAAGTTCTACTGATTTTTGCAGATTTTAGAATAGCTACTGGGAATATAAGTTAAGAGCAGAGTACATTGCAAGCCGGACTATGGCACAAATCGGGTCAACTCAGTAAACAGGGACCGGTAACAAACAGCATCAAAATATCTTATTGTTCCTCATCTGATATCATGACAAACCTGCCATAGTAACCGTAAACAATTGAGGTCAAGTTGCGGTGAAAATGGCTTGATTTGTGACGTGTTTAAAGTTTAAACATGCCTTTGCATTTATCATTGTCGTATGAATGTGGATTTGTGTAACACACACACACTCATGGAAACAAAGCAAAGATGAGCTGATCAAAATCAGTGACCAATCAGAAAGTTTCTCTAGCTTTGTGGGTGGAGTTTGATACCAGCATGTAGTTTGGTGACCACACATGCATGCACCTCAGTGGGAGGTCAAGAAACTATGTTGTAACCATGTGCTCACCATACGTACATGTATGAGTGTGTGTATGATGAAAGTTTAGAAAATTGCCAGGTCAAGCTGAGCCCATGTATTTGGTTCTGAGGTATAGCAGATGAATTTCATTTTCACTTCTGTTCTACTTATTTTCCAGGGTAGATTTGGCTTCAGAGGACTACCGGGACCAGAGGGGCCGAAAGGTGAAAAGGGCAGCCTTGGACCAATAGGGCCAGCAGGTCCTCTGGGAGAAAGAGGCCCAAGAGTAAGAATTGACTCCTTAAAAGAAACCTCACCCTCGAAATAACTGTAGTTTTCTGAGAGATGTATTGTATTTTTGCCTATTAATCTACAAGATTCCCCACCGAAGCTAGTGTATGAGAGAGTATAAACATAGCATAACGTATATTTTCTCAGAATGACATGGGTATCTCCATTTTGTTGATAATGTGACATAACAAAGCTAATTTAGAATTAAGTTTACGCAATGAGATGCAAGTTGCTTTTCGCCCCCCCCCCCCCCCCAGGCGCAGGTGATGCCAATACTTAACGATAATTATAATAATAATAATTCTGTATTTTCATACAGTTTTCCTGCTTTTAACAGAACTACAATGACTAATGACAGAATGAGATAATTCTACAGCTGAGGGCTGGAGATTTGCCAAAGGCAAAGGTTTAATATTGTGATTGGTTTTTAGATTACGATTTACCTCAATAAATCAATGTATCTACTTATTATTGTGTTTAGCTTTAGAATTAGATATTAAAGCCATTCCAGGGATGACAAATTTAGAATGAGTTTAGTGATGGAAATGACTGCAGAGCTAATGTTTTGGTAGCATTTTTTGTAGAACCCTGGCTGACGCAAAGATGCAAAGCATATTATGTTCTTTTCTCTCCACAGGGCAAAAGGGGCATCCAAGGAGAGATAGGGGCACCTGGAGCTGTGGGAAAGAAGGGCTTCTTGGGCTACCCTGGACCATATGGACCTGAAGGGCCCGAGGGACCTAAGGTGAAATATCTATTACCTTGTTCATCTCAAATCCTTGTTTGAAATTAAATCTCTCTTTACCATAGGCAATTTAGTCCCATAATGGCAAGCACATTTTACTTTTGCTCACCCTTACTCCTTGTGTGAAGGGAAGTGAACTTTGTGTTTCACACCCATTTTTATACATATATGGGCTACCAGCCGTATACGGTCCCTTTTTCTCTGTATGATTATTTTATATGTATTTGTATCAGATTTTATTATACGGAAATAAAAACAACATACAAACAGATGCATGAAATTGCATTTACTTGTTTTACTCACCTGTTAACCTACTTATGGGCCTTAATACTGATTAACCAGATCATCAGCTCAACTTTCTTTCAATCATGTTTATTGCTACATGGACAAGTTGATAATTTATAAGATTGTCAAATTCAATTTTCATTAGTCCTTAAAAAGGTATTGAGATAGTACTCACAGAACAATGAATGGCATTGTCTGTTTTAAAAACTCTATTAGTTATCAATTCGTCCTTGTTTTCACGAAGTGACGGTAGCGAGGAAAATCATAATGCAAAGTGAATGCAATTTTTTTCACTACCGTCACTTCATGAAAACAGCGACAAATTGGACTACAAATGGCATAAATTTGGGGTTGCCCAATAGCATTGCCCAACAGAAAGGGTAAATGACACCTGGGCAACTGTTGATTGTGAGAATTTTCTTTTGACTAATCTCCATACATGTCGATGATGCAGAAAAGCTGTAATATGATGGAGGTTGGAAAGTCAGTTTTATTGAAAATCCCTATTTGTGTCTCAGCTAATGCAGGTTAATCTGTTGTGTGAATATGAGATTCTGTCACTTATCTCCTTTCAAAGCTCAGCTCCTTTTTGTGGCTCTAACTAGCTTACAATTGTATTTTTTTCTTTCAATGTTGCTATGCATATCCCATGTTTACATTTCTGAAGGGCAGGATGGGTCCAGATGGCTATGAAGGTTACCCTGGACCACAGGGGGTCCCAGGCTATCCTGGGCCACCAGGTCCTCGAGGGCCCAAAGGAGATGTAGGTATAGGAGGAGAGGAGGGCTTTCTGGGAGAGGAGGGCCCTCAAGGACCCAAAGGTGAACTGGTGAGTCAGTTTCTCTTCATCTGCTCTAGCTTGTACCACCAGTACTAGCACAGTCTACTAACTTACTGCAGGGAACCTGCAGGAAACTTCGTGCAATGTATAAGATTAGGCTGCTCTTTTTTGCTGCCATTTTCAGACTTCTTTGTCTTATACAATAGGCCTGTCATCATCAGCTCGAGATTGGCAAATAACCCACTATTTTAACTATCCCTTAACGGAATATTTGGTCAAGATAATATCCCGAGAAATCTTGGTCTTGTTTCCAAAATAGCTGGCTAATTTGCACCCATCTTCATCGGACCGAAGTACGGAGTCAATTTCTTGATCCCACTATGCACAATGATTTTCGGTTTTCCGTGTTTGTAAATAAACTGTACATGTGTGTACGATGGGACGCGTAGCACATGCGGTCTGCCGCATGTACTTGTACACATCTTTTACAGCACGGGTAAAATGCTAATTCTGCGTGCTGGTCATACAATCGGTCTCTGAAGTGCGTATGTGCCAATCTTGGGTTTATTTTTCGAGCTAGTTTGTGATGAGCATATTGGTCTGGTGAAGACGCAATTTTGAGCTTTGGTATTATATCTCGAGTCTGGAAATAGCAGGTTATTTGGCAATCTTGAGCTAATGAAAACAGGCCTAATGTATTCCTGATATCAAACTTTAACCTTGAGACTTTTATTGAGATTTTTGTTGTGGACGGGGATTGGCTTCCTCCTCAACATTTCAGTTACAGAGCAATTGATCACCATGAATTTTTCCACACAGCTTTGAATAAGTAAGGAACAAGACCAGACCATTTTGTCAGAAGTGAAATAATTAATTAATTTTCAATTTACTCAAAAGTAATTTGTGAATCTACATTTGTATTAATGACTTAAGTCAAAATGGTCATGTGAGAGTGGCTTTTTCTGTATACTTTTCTATAAAATTTGTGAACCTTTATACTGAACCGAAACTTTGATTATATTTTGATTTGGATGTATTTCTTGTTATTGTTTATAACACCACAATGATATAGTTTTCTTTTAAATAGAGATGGAACAGTAGTGATGGAATAGTGCTTGTTTGTAGCAAATTGTGTAAGATAACCAGTAAGAAAAGACCACATTGATATAGTTTTCTTTGAAATCATATTCGGTAAATATGGTTTGGTGCTAATATGTAAGATTACTAGGATAAATTACTTCATTTGATTATCTTCGTTTCTTTATATATTTCAAGGGAGAACCTGGCATTGATGGAAATCCTGGACTAAATGGTATCGCTGGATACAAGGTGAATGCTCTTTTTTTTATGTGGCTGAATTTTACTGAATTAAAACTAGACAAGACTGGATCTAGCTGGATGGGACAGGGCAGAATGATAATAAAATGAAATTGAAATTAGTTTGGTTTAATATAGTATTGCATAAAAATGATCAATAAGACAGGGTGAAAAGAATTATCATGAAATGAAGTAAATATGATCATACTAAATGAAAGACAATGAAATTATATGCAGTGATATACTACATCTAAATAATAAAAAATAATCATACTATAATCATGAAGTGAACTTTCAAAAGTGGATGAAAGAAGATCTGTTAAATGAAAGAAGATACTGTGAGCTAAATGAAAGGAATTCAACTCTATATGTTCATGATGCTTAGAATGCAAGTCTTCCTTGTAATACCTCAGTTACATGTCAAACCAACTCTGCCATTGGGGTACAGCAATTTTTGTTTGGTCAGATTTATGTCTGGTATCCGGCTGTTTGGAGTTGGTAGTAAAGAAGAGATTTGAAAAAAAATGATGTTTTTTTTTTTCAGGGTGAAGATGGTGAACTAGGTCTTCCTGGCAGGCCTGGAGCACTGGGACTAAGAGTAAGTACTTGTTTTCTTAAAGAAATCTGATTTTTCTCAGATTCTACAATTCTGTAATGAATAATGATGATGATGATATACTGGTATGGTCTTGTCTACCTAGGGTAGCCTCATGAGTATGAAGTCTGCTTTTCCTGATGACTCTAGGCACACCTGGATTGAGAGGGATACATTTGGGTAACACACCTTGCTAATGGACGTAATTAATAATGCCCTGAGCAGGGATCCAACCCTGGATTGAAGCAGATGTGGAAAGTTAATATCCCTTTTGATTCAGACATATTTCTGACTCATTTGTTTCATTATCTCAAAGTTTTAGAGTGAGAGCAAAAACTTATTTCCTGAGAAATATCTTTACCATGAAACTTCATAACATTTAAAGCCATCATCCTTCTAGGGACTATGATCTGCATTCTACTAATTCGGTTAAACCAACCCTTGGTCGAAAACCTAAGAATAACGTCCTTCGATACACCTATTTTTTCACAAAAGCTTAAGCCCAGCATCAGAATTAAATTTGAGTAGTTTACAGGCCCGTGTATATAAATCAGATTTAGGTGAACTGACATAATTCTCTCCTGTAATTCTTCCTTTATGTAACAGTTCGTATTACAAAAAAGATAATCATCAAAATCTGTTTATTTTTAAGAGGAATTTTAAGGAGAGGACTGAGAGAATTATCTATTGTATAGGTTCCTACATCTAACATTTATGTATCTATAGTACATGTATTACCCACACAAAAAAGCATCTTCAAAATTTGTTATTTTCAACTTGTTTTGCAGGGAAGGAAAAGGGGTAGAACAGGAGAGAAAGGGGACAAGGGAGACAAGGGCACACCTGGCAAGCCTGGAGCCTATGGATACCCTGGGAGAAGGGGCAATAGAGGCCCTTTGGTTAGTATAATGTGAAGGTTTGATACCCAGGTGGAAGGGGCAATAGAGGCCCTTTGGTTAGTATAATGTGAAGGTTTGATACCCTGGGAGAAGGGGCAATAGAGGCCCTTTGGTTAGTATAATGTGAAGGTTTGATACCCAGGTAGAAGGGGCAATAGAGGCCCTTTGGTTAGTATAATGTGAAGGTTTGATACCCTGGTAGAAGGGGTAACAGAGGCCCTTTGGTTAGTATGATGTGAAGGTTTGATACCCTGGTAGAAGGGGCGATAGAGGCCCTTTGGTTAGTATGATGTGAAGGTTTGATATCATCCCGGCTAAGGAAGCAGATCCGGGGGGCGTTTCACAGAAACTTGTCATCAGTGACAAATGACAGTTTTTGTTATAAGCTACTGAAATCCTTGCTTCTGATTGGTTATAAGCAAATTTGTCACTGATTTTTGTCATTTGTCATTGAAAAAAGGCTGTGTGAAACTGGTCCCAAATGTGTAGTAACACTGTTCAGTGGGGGATCCAGGCTGCATGGGTAAGTGTAAGTGCCGTCCCTGCCATAATTACATATTACGCCATCTTATATCCTTGTTTTCTTCCCAAATATTTCACACCGGAATTGTAAGATGCAGTTCCCCCATTTACAATTTATCAAGTTTTCTTGTATTTTATTTCACCCCTTCCCCCCCCCCCCCCCAAGTGATTGGAACCTGATGAAAGAGAAAGACAATCATTAAATTTATAGTGGAAAGGTTATATTGTGTGTTATGTAATAATGATGATTATAAGATTAAAGATGAATTTCTACAATGAATCATGAGCTATAGTCTCTCTATGTGCCTTGATGATGTTGATTTGATTAGTTCAAGGCAAATGTTGTTTTTTCTTGGAGGCAGGGACTGCGGGGCTTTCGAGGTCGCCGTGGAGTGCAGGGAGTGCCGGGTGTAGATGGGGAGAAAGGAGGGGTTGGAGCAGATGGTGCCAAAGGTGAAAAAGGAGACCAGGTAGGAAGAGTTTTAACATATCATCAGACATATGCAAACCATTACCTTCTTTCTAGATGCCATATCTGTTGACTTTAGTGATCATGTTATTCTGCAACTCTCTGTTTCCAGCCTTCACCAGGAGCTCCATTCTCAGGGGAGTGTTTCACAAAGACTAAAATCAACTTTAGGTCAGGCCGTTTATGCCACTGTTTGCTCTCACCATTTGCTGGCATTTTTTTCTCAAGGGACGTACAAATCGTGGTCACAAATCTACAGAATTTACCTTTTTTGATAGTTCATTATTGAATGAAAAATATTATCTAAAGATCATAATTGAGAGACCATTAGAGCAACCAGTGGAATGAATGATGGCCTGCCATACTGTAGTTAAGTCCAACTTAAAGTCGATCTTAGTCTTTGTGAAACAGCCCCCTGGTCTTTCACTCCTCTATAGTTGTCCTCAAGCTGTCTCTGCAGACGATGCAGCATACATATATAACTCATCTTCCTTAATGTCTCTTTCCTGTGATCTTTCTTGTGCAGATTCTCTAACCTCCTTTGTATCAGATGTCCCACAATTCCTATATGCTTAATCCATATCTTGAGGATCAATCTTCTTTTCACATTAACTCACTTTATTCTCACTCTATTGGTCCATGGAATCCCTCAGCATTCTTCTGAAAGCCATACCCCAACAAATGCAAAATAAAATTTGTTAACCTGAGGAAGATGAAACCTCTGTGGAATAGTTGTTCAGAAGTATTTTCTTAGTTTTTAAAAAGATATGACTGTCTTACAAAACAATTGTTAAGACTTTAAGAGACCAAGTAAAGGGACTTTATAGTTCCAATAGAGTCAAGCATATTTTGGAAAGACAAAAGTCTTACATAGTAGTTCGGTAGATTTATGGGGAGACTAGGTAAGAAGAATTGTGAGATATATTTAGTGTCAGGCATTTGCAAACCATCACCCAACCAAAATATATAAATGGAATATACCTGATATAGACAATATCTTTGTGAAGTATATGTAAGAGGTTCAAAGTTTTATATATGACTTTGAAATTTAAAAAATCTGACGATTAATTTGTTAGACTTTAGCAGTACAATAATATTGAATCAAACATTTATTCGGTAAATCCACTTATTGTACACTGACCCAGAGTTCTTAGTTCTTTTTGATACCACTTTTTGGTAGTTGCTGATTTTATTGTAATAATATATTTGTAAAGCACTTAGAGACATTTGTATTAAGCGCTATATAAAAGCTAAATATTCTTCTTCTTCTTATTATTATTATTGTGATTGTAATCTTTCCATGGCAGGGCTTACAAGGTATACCAGGTGAACGTGGTCCTAGGGGTGAGACTGATGATGCATTCGATGGAACACCCGGCCCTCCTGGTATTGATGGATTTAAAGGAGAAAAGGTTTAAAGATTTCCTTTATCTTCTTCTTTCTTGTATGTGCAGTGATTCTGTGTTTGGGCTTTAAAGGTTACTATAATCAACAACAACAAACTTTTGTGTATAGTTTTATGATGAATGAAATAAAATCAACCTTAAAAAGCGTTTACTTGGCATTCTATGCATTTAATGGTCAAAGAGTATGAAGAAAATAACAAATAACGGAAAACCCTACGCACGTAACCACAGTCGAACTTGGATACCATGCAAACCTTATTCTATGCATACCAATGCGTACCAATAGTCTAGTACTAGTCTACTCAGAAATCACTTTTATTTTATATGAGGGTGAAAGAGACCCTTGGATACAACTTTTCATCAAAAAATATTTATACAAGACATAAATCTGTCATAAAATGCTTGGGGAAACAATTGAGCAAATAAGTAGCTGCAATGGGAAAATGTTCTGAAAGACATATTTGTTCCTTGTTTTAGGTTTCATTTTTTTTGTCTTCCAAATTTTGCCACTGAAATATCTGAATAACAAAACTAGCTATAATTATACTGTTTTTTTTTACTTGTCAGTGAACAAATATGTTAACTGTTTACATTCTTTAAAAACACCTGTTCCTATTGTCTTATCATCCGTAGGGAAACATGGGACCCCGGGGGGAACAAGGACCCTTTGGACCCCCTGGACCGTCAGTGCCTGGATCTAGGGGCTATAGGGGCGATAGAGGAGATAATGGACTGCAGGTAAGTTAACCCATTGACTACTGAATCTTCTTATTGCCATGTGATTGATACAGGGACCACCTGGTTCTTGTAAGCAATAGATTAAGATACACCATTGCTGATCAGTTACTCTTATTTGTAGGAAAACATGGGACCTTGCAAGAGAGAACAAAGACTCCCTGGCCCCCTGGCTGGCTCCTCAGTAGCCAGATTCAGGGTTCAAAGGGGTGAAAAAGAGGAGAGATTATCTGGTACACCACCGCCAACCTATGCTGTGGGCTTTATTTTTGTGATAAGGGTTTAGGGTTAGGTATAATGCTCATCAGGGTTCTCACCAATGACAAGAGGGGATTTCAAAATTATAATAGCAATGGTAATCATCCCAAACCATCCGTTTCATCTTGATAGTGAAAGAAGAGCTTGGCTCGCAGATCCCATCATTTTAGGATCTGCAAAACTTGAGAGTGTCACATCTTCTGCATATGAATGAAAATGCACATAACCATCTACTGCTTGATTACATCTGGTATTGAATAAGTGTACATGCAAAAGAGACGTCGCCCTACCACGGACCCTTGCAGAACAATGTAATCATAGGACCGTGGAGTTGATAGTTTACATGCTACTTTGCATCTACTTTGCATCAAACATGGCTAAGAGATCCAGATAAATTCACCATGTCTCCTGTCCATAGCCTGTAGGATATTATTTTTGTGACTTTTAACAGTGCATTTAGTCTCGGTGCTATGATGTTGATAAGATGACTGAAAATCAGCTTTTTTAATTAACTTCGACAGGAAAGGTAGATTGAACACGGGTTGATAGTTCTTTAAGTTATCTCGATCCAAGTTAGATGCTTTGATTAGGCGCGTGACAATAGCCACCTTAAAGGTACTGTGTCCCTTTTACAGGCCCAAAAAATGAAAAGGTTAAATTCCAACGGCATTTGAAAGATAATACTAATTTAGAACTTGAAAATGTCTTAAAGTGGGAAAAAACAACTATTAGTTGTCGAATCGACTTAAGAGCTATAGAGCCAGTAAATAATAGTCTGATTTTCAGACCATCGAACCAAAGGGTCGTACGTTTTGTGCTGCGCAAAGATTCAATCAGTTTTATTTTGGCCATTACAAGAAGTGGGTTATTGATGTTGGCAATTGCTCATGTACCGTTTACAGCTCATTTTATGTATGTTGTTACCAAAGAAGAAAAAAGCCAGTCAGTCACTCAATAGTGTCTGACAGTGAAGTCTAGTAAGTAAACTGGTTTCCTCGCATAATTTCAATATTAGGACACTGCTAACATTTAAATTTCACAGATAAGACATACATGACATATTCGTAATTCCTACAAAGTTCTACATAATTTGATGTTGGCTGCAAAAGGGACATAGTATCTTTAAGGCACGTAGGGAACGATATAGAGCAGAAATGTGTTGATGATCTCCTACAGTAACCACACTGGAAGATAGTCACGCAAGCAGAATTTGTTTGGATATGACATATAAATCAAATTTCAGACCCCATCTTCAGAAATGTTGTCAATTTCAGAGAACCTAGCGACATGTGAAGTAGATTCTTCAGCAGAATGACCCTCTGTTACACCTGCCTGATAATCTGACGATAAAGCTACAGAAGAAAAAATGCATCATAAATTTAATTTTGACACTGATTATAATTTTATTTCATCTTGATTTTCCTTTTTTTTTGTGTGTGTAGGGACCTCCAGGCTCACCAGGTAGACCAGGACCACCAGGCAAAAGAACAGGACCACTGGTAATACTTTTTCAGTTTTTGAAGCTTTTCTTTTGTGAACTGCAGTTGATTGGTTTCATAAATCTGTGTACTTTACAAGAAATACATCTTCAGTTAAACACCAAATTGAGCATACCCCTTGTAAATTTGATGTGTTTTATTCGTTTTTTGTATATCAAGAATGAAAGATGGACTGGTTGAATTAGGGCCTTTGTTGAATACTTTTAGATGTAAGCTTTAATATGTCACATTCTCAACAAACATAAATCAGGACAAATGATAACAATGGAAAATAACAAAATATAGTGTGTATACTAGTAGTAATGATTACAAATTATAACTTCCGGTGCTTGCATATGTCCAATTTTGTGCTTCAGATTCCACAAAGTAAGTTTTAAAATGGAGCCCTGATATAGATCTCATAACCATTTCCACAATTTCTTCTAGTTTATTTTTAATAGTATGAATGCTTTGTTCACACTCCATTATTCAGGGTCCTCCTGGTCCTCCTGGACCCCCAGGTCCCCCTGGCCCACCAGGCACAGTCAAGGTAAGGCGGAAGAAGAAGTAAGGTAGCTGGGCCAAATTGGGTTGTATGACACATGTTGTTGTGACAATTGCTGTGCAGTCAATTTCCTTTTAATATTAGTCGGCTTCTTATCTTCAGAAGTAATATCCCACTGCTGCCACCAAATAAGGACAATTATTACCTGTATCAAACATCTGGTTTTACAAAATCAATTTACACTTGTTATAATCTTAAAGAGCTAATCAGTACATATAAGACCATATTACCCTCCCATAAAAAAGCCTATGGACATTACTCTTAAAAAAAGTAAATATAGTCTCATATTGACCGCGCAGTATTTTGTCATTTTCATTACACATCTATTATGCGTACGAGAACCTGCACACTTTGCGCGCACACTGTTTGCAGTGTATTGAAAATTTTGTCAAGCACTGGATGCACAGTGCTGGTTTGACAAAGTTTGTTCAGTTCTTTGAGATTGTCATGGTTGATTTATATATTTGCTCTAGATGTCTGATTTAGATAACAATAACAATATTGACTAGCTTAACTTTCGGGACATACCATATATATTGCCCTCACAAGACCTATATTGCCCTCGTCTTTGACTCTGGGCAATATAAGTCTAGTTTGGGTAATATATGTGGTATCTCCCTCAAGGCCAGTCAATATTATATAATTATTACCCAGATCAGACATCTGAGCAGTGGTTTTACAAAATCATATTACACTCGTTTGTAATCATAAAAGGGCTAATCGGGGAATATGAGACCATATTTACCTTTCATGAAAAAGCCTATGGACTTTACGCGTTAAAAAAGCATGAAATATAAGGCCATATTCACCGCGCCGTATTTTGTCATTTTCATTGCGCATCTATTATGCGTACGAGAACCGGCACACTTTGCGCGCACTCTATTGTGACGTAATAATCACACCAAATTGGGTACACTGTTTGCAGTGTATCAAAAAATTTATCAAGCAGCTGGATGCACAGTGCTGGTTTGACAAAGTTTGTTCAGTTCTATGAGATTGTCATGTATGTATTTGCTGATGTCTGATTTAGATAATAATAACAATATTGACTGGCTTAACTTTCGGGAGATACCACATATATTTCCCTCACAAGACCCATATTGCCCTCGTCTTTGACTAGGGGCAATATGAGTCTAGTTTGGGAAATATATGTGGTATCTCCCTCAAGGCCAGTCTGTATTATATAAATATTCAGAGTTATACTATATTATGTAGTATGCATAGAAAATGATGTAATATTCTATTCCTATCCTTGAATGACGCTACATGTAGGAAGTCAAGTTTTATGTAATATCTGATGGAAATATCATGGTATGGTGCTATGTATTCATTATTATAATGATCCATCATTATTGTGTTAATGCAAATTTGATTATGATCTGTCTTTTGCTTCTTTCCTAACAGGGTGAGAGAGGTGACCCAGGACCCCCTACACCAGGCCCACAGGGCCCCAAAGGTTCACAAGGGTTCAAGGGAAGCATTGGCATTGATGGTATCAAAGGAGAAAAGGTAAGTCTCTTCTTGATGTTCCTCATCTCATTAAATGCCTATTATTGTTTGTTGAGTAGATGATAGGCCTGGTGCATGTAAGTATCTTCAACACAGATAACTGATGCTTCCAGGAAAACTACAGTCAAACATGCAATGCATGTAGCATACACCTGTATAGAAAGACCACCTGTCTATGAAGACCATATTTTTCATTTCACTTGAGCATAGTTTCTCATTGAAACAATTATAATAAAGGAACCTGTATGTAAAGACCACCTGCCTATAAAGACCACTTTTCTTGTCTCCTTGGAGTGGTCTTTTATACAGGTTTAATTGTACCAGCCTGTAACATTGATCTTACTTTAAAGGTATTTACTGTTTTCATAACTGTTGTGAGATGCATGATAGGAGGATACATTGGAATTTTACTATAGTGTTTTCCTGACAAAAGCAGTCGACATGTATAGAACTAAAATAGCTTAAATCTTTATATGCCACACAAATTTCCTCCCTGTGCCACATTGTATTAATCATGTAAAACCTAAGGTTTAAAGATCATTTAAATGTTTCCAGTGCAAGATTAATCTATACCAGTATTAAAAAGATTGTCATGGAGCTAATCAAGACTGAAATGGGAAGTTTATCAAAGCCATTGTGTTGCACAAAGCAATCCTTCCTTCAATCGGTGCATGGTGTATTGTGCATAAAGGCATGTGTGGCAAATGAGCAACTGTGCATAGAGGCGAGGAAAGCAACCAAAGTGTTAAAACTATGTAATAAGATGACCTTCTTGATGCTTGAATGTGCAGGGTAGCCAGAGTAATGCAGGACCCAGAGGTAAACCAGGAAGAGATGGTCGAAGGGTGAGTTAATTATTATTATTATTGTTATTATTTATATACTGCGCTTTTCCCAGAGTGGCCCAAAGCGCTTACAACAAGAAGAATCCTGCAAAAAAATGAAAATGAAAATGAAACTTACAGAATCCTAAAAATCTGGATTACAAAAAAGAAATGTTTTAAAGTCCCTTTTTGAAAGAAGAGACAGATTGTGATTGCCTGAGTATTAAAGGTAGCCTATTTCAATATTTAGATGCAGTTATAGTGAAAGTCCTATCTCCAGCTAGTTTCTGTGTGATGTCGTATGTAAGATGGAGGTAATGATCTCATCCTTTCATGAATTGATTTATGTGCTGAAAAAATATACTGGTATATTAATAATTTGTAGCCCAATTATTTAATTTTCGTAAATTATGATGTTTTGAAGGAGTCAAACTTTTTCTACCTATAAAGCTCCATGTACTGAAAGTATACTTATTTTTGATGCAGCAATTCTATGTAACCCTGATTATTTTCAGTAGGAAATTGATAAAGTGCTGTAATTTAGTCTATTGGGCGATCCAAATTCACAGGTTTTTTGCAACCCTCATGGAAAGCCCCACATAATAACCTTTGTAAATATAGTTACTGTTACTTTGTATATTTTGATTTTTATATTGCAAAATAAAATGAATTGAACTGAATTAATCAGAGTAGCCCTTCTTTTAAAGGTACATATATTAATATAAAATGGACAGGATATACAAAACATAATGATAATGTGTTATATAATGTGGAGGGAGCTAGAGGTAAAGTATTTGTTATCACAATATCTTATGAATGATAAACTGAAAATAATAACAGTATTATCCCACACATTCTCTACGCTTGACTGGTTATAGATTTTGGATAGGATAGTCTAAAATGCCTTCTGCATTGATGTTTTTAAGAAGATCTAACAGAGTTACAGAAATTGAAAAGGAGGGAGAAAAAAAAAAGAAATCCACAAAGAAAACTGCAGTTTTTGTTGCCTTGTGTATTTTTATTTTGTGTTATCTATTCGGAGTGTTGGCTCAGTCAGTAGAGCGTCCGCCTCACAACCGGGAGGTCGTGGGTTCGAACCTCGGCCGCGTCATACCAAACGACGTTAAAAGATGGGAGTTGTTGCTACCTTGTTAGGCGTTCAACAGTAAGGGATAGAGCAACGTCGATCTGGCGCTGCTCAATGGCTGCCGGGCTCACGATCAATTGGGCAAAAAAGAATTTCCGTTTCGGTTTAATAAAATTTGGAGTGGACTATTAGGCTATTATTATTATTAATATTATTATTATTATTATTATTATTATTATCATTATTATTGTTATTATTATTATTATTTCTATTTTTGGTTATAGTCTTCAACTGTATATTATGTAAAGACAGAATCTAAATGAAGGTCAGTGTTATTGTATAATTTTCAGTATTGCCTGTATTTTAATGATTTTTGTGACTACATCATATCTTTTAGGGGCCAAAAGGATACAAAGGTGCTTTGGGACCAAAAGGAAGAACAGTAAGTGAAAACAAACAAATCAGTTTGTGATGTTTTTACAGGGATTATTGAGGGCAATACCTTGATATTGCAAAACAATTGAATAACCACAAAATTACAAACTTAGGTAAAACAGGGCTCCACTTATTACAAGGGAACTTTCCCTTTTCCTGTTTTTTACATAGATTTCACCATATTTTGTTCTTCACTAAATGGAACATAGTGCCTTTAAGAGATAAATCTCACAGCCCTTAGATATTGAGAAACAAAGTAAATTGATCCTGTTTCACTGCCTAAAGTCATCAAAGTGCAAATGATTATCACGCTAGTTTTTTTAGAAGAAATATTTTCTGACATAATATGATCATGAGTTCACAACATTTTAAATAATATTATCTGAAAGAACACTCTATTCAAGGTTAATGACAGCTCGTCTTGTGTAATAAGAAACTTGACAGAAATTTGATTCGAGCAATATTAAATTTGCTTTATATTTGTAAGAAAGAAATTCCTGAATTTGTAGAAAATTACATGATGAAATATATCAAAACACCAAAGATTATACCAATTTAGAAACATTATAGCATACATTTAAGTATATTTTAGAATATTGTTTTCCATCCACCAGTTACCTACATCCTTTCCAGCAGAAATCAGGCAAGGTTTGATGTATTTTGTCATTAGTAGAGGTGTCGTGGTCGAGTGGATATGTCTGCGAACTGTGGATCACAAGGTCCATGGTTCAAGTCCCACTGCGGCACTAATATCCTTTGGCAAGACATCGATCTACATTTGCCACTCTCCACCTAGGTGTTAAATGGGTACTTGGTAGGATGCGAAAGCTAATGTGGTTTGATAAGCAATGGCGCTTGTAAAATGGCGACTGGCTGGAATGCTCACCAGGGAGTGGAGAATGTGCATACCTTGGTGCGAGTAAGCTTGAATCCGATGACCGGGGTAATAATATATATCTGTAAAGCGCATTGAGAGGGCCTGCGGTCCTGAAATGCGCTATATAAGGACGAAATATTATTATTATTATTACGTTAGTAAATTTATCTTTGCACTTTCTCTTTCTATCAGGGCCCTCCTGGTCCCCCAGGCCCACCGGGTCCAGCTGCCCCTACTCGTGCTCCTCCTCCAACATTGGTGAGTAGAACCCTCTCCCTGCGTGTCTTTCTATTCATTTCTGGTTTATAAGTGGTTTCATCTCTTGATCGTATGTAGCAGCAGTAGCATACAGATATTTTGAGATATAGTAGTATGCCATCAAACTTTTTGAAGCCCTTAGTGTTTATGTAGAAACAAGAGAGGTGATATATGTTTACTGTTGTCTTTTATCAATTTTCCAAGATATGAACTATATTGCCATCATGAAGGAAAGGTTCCATGTCATCATCTAAATGTACATAGCCAGGGTATTAGGTACGGTTCACATATGTTCCTTAATCATTTCATTTTTATTCTCTTAAAGGCTCCTACCACTCGGGAATCCACGACAGTTAAAAAGAAGCGACGCACCACGACAACAACGCCACCCCCTACGACGACTCCACCCACAACAACAATGAGAGAGACAACTACAGTGAAAAAGAAAAAGAAGAAAAAGAAGACTACAACCACCACTGCTGCCCCTACTACATTACCCCTGACCACGACTCCAGCACCTACCACCCCGTTACCCCCAACCACCCAGGCACCTACGCCTACCCCTGAAGTGATCACTGATATCATTAGGGAGATTGAGGAAGAGATTGAGGCGCCAAGGGGTACCAGGAATGCACCTGCAGTCTCATGCAAAGAAATCCTGATGGATTATCCAGATTCAGAAGATGGTAAATGATGTTGTCACTCCTTAGTCCTCTCTCAGTCTTCCTCTTTCCCTGTCTGTCTCTCTCTCTGTCTCTCCCCCACATTCTGTTTGATTCTTCTCTTTCCCCTTTTGTTTGCCTGAAATGGACCTGTTATGTTTTTTGGATTGCAGATCATGGGCTAATTGTTTATCTGGCCTACATTCAATCTAAATCTTTGTCCGACTCCAAGTTGATATCTTCATGCAAGTGCTTCAAACACAATTATGTACATTGCTCCTATTTCCTACTTCTGCTAGTATTGCCAATATTTGCTAGATGTTAATTGGATCCAAAACATGACCACACCCATGTAGAACTGCATCCATGAAATCTCACATTCCATCTCTGCCATCAATTCTAAAACAAATATAATTCCAAACTACAATCTTGTACTCAACTCTATCCTTTGACCAAATTACCCCAAAACAAATTTTGAATCACTGTTTTGATAGGATTTTTAAAGATATCTTTGCATAACCTCAAAAATATTCTGTCATTGTTACCTTATACAAGTTTATCTTCAATGAAAATTATCTTACTTTAAAAAATTCCATGAACTGCTTTGTTCCACATCCTGTTTCTACATGATTTTGTTTGAGGTATGATAATCCTAACAAATATGGATAGTGGAAAACAAATGCCTGATATATGACATTTAACCCTCAAGAATTCTCTTCAAAATCCTACTCTTTGTTATTAAAGCCTTCCATGATCGAATGCTAGTATAGATTGAAGATTAGATGCTGCTTGTAAGTGTCGGCTTGCATGGTGATGTAGATATACAGTAGGCTTTGGCTTGATTAAGGAGTCCTGAAAAGGACTGTAATATTTCTTGAGGGTGTGTAGTCCTGAAAAGGACTGTTTGTGTAGTCTTGAAAAAGACTGTTGGTTATCTTTCTTAGCTTATAGTTCTAAGGAGAACTGGTTGACTATCCGGCATCAGGAGTGGAGAATAGCTGGCGTGCGTGAAGAAGATTGCCGTACATCTCCACTCTTCTAAGACTCCTTATCCTTCCAAAGACCAGTAGCAAAGCTGGGGATTGCACATATACTGTAACACTAAGAGCATCCTACGAATAGAACAATATCCATTCTTAGATGCTGGCTGCTATCCTGATGATGGATAGTCAACCTCTTCAAAATTTCGAGCCATTCCTACTTCCCATCCTCTCCAACCGGTGCGACTATCAACAGTCCTTTTCAGGATTACACACACACTCAAGAAAGAAAGATTACTGATGGTCCTCTTCAGGACTCCCCAATCCCCCCCCCCCCTCTCTCTCTCACATGGTGCAACCGTAAGCCTACTGTATAATATCCATTCTTTCATCACGTCATCAAACTCCACAGACCAATTGAAGACAGTCTTGAAAACAGATCTATCTCTTCCCAGAGAAGTTAAACCCCTTTTTTTAATTTAATTCCTTTAATTTGTACTTATTTTAAGTTAAACTAAATATCACATATTATTTATTTTGTAAATGCTGTGCTATAGTTGTACTATTTAGAGGGCACTAAGTGCTAGTTAGTAGTATTATCATTATGAAATGACTGTTTATCTGTGATACAGGTTTGTACTGGTTAGACACGAATGGAGGTGCACCAAACGATAAATTCCAAGCCAACTGTAAGTTTGTGCAAGGTGGGCTGACCTGTCTCAACGCTACAGCTGCAGCTGCAGTAAGTCAACCTCACATGTTTATCTTACTCTGTAGAGACTTTTAAAAACATGTTTCAGTTTAAAGATTCTCTTTTTATCATAGAGTTTTTAATTCCATTCTTTGTCTACCATTGATCTTTTATTCATCTATTTTTTATCTATTCTCCATGAAATTTTCATCTTCTCTTTGTAATAGCATGAAACCCTTGTCGATTGTCATAAATTTGTCATGTGAAGTCCATCCATCTTTTCTTCTTTTATTCATCCCTTCTTCCATAATGTTGCTACCTCGCATGTAAGGAGATTACGCCAGCCTAAGTAAACCTTAAAGCTCTTTAATTTAGACAAATCAAAGAACCAGGGTAGGAGAGTGCTAATGAAAACGAAGGCTGAACATAGCCACACAAAAAGGATTGACCCAACGAGTGGACGTCACAAGGTGGCACTAAAACTTCACAAATAACATGAAATTTAACATGACATTAATTAGCTTTTTCGTTTCTTATTCATTCATCATTTGTCCTTCATCTTTTCCTTATCTTTTCATTGTCTGTTGTTTTACTCATGTATTTCCATTGTGTCATCATCCCTTCTACCCATCTTGTTATTTTTTAATCTATTCTTCTTAAAACCTGAGTTTCATCATATCAATAACAATTTTTTGCGTCTTGCTCATGATGAAGAAAATCTATCGTGCTTATTTTATTTATTTACACCTGTTTTTGACCAGGTCTTTGTTTTATGTATCGTTACCTTTCTATATTCTTCCTCAATTACATCAATTTGCTTAATATTTTCTTCTTCTGATCATGACAGACAGATCCTTCTAGTTGGGTGGCTTCCCCCGACAGCGACTGGTTCTCAGACTGGAATGCTGGCTTTGAGATAGAATATGAAGCCAGCGTTGTCCAGCTAAGATTCTTACATATGAAGAGTAACACAGCAACACAACTGTAAGTCATGAAGTAGAGGATTTAGCACACTTCCAAAATATCTTAGCCATTGATAGTGAATCTGTACTAAAGTTTGACTACTGATTCTCCTTGGTATTACTTTTATTTGTACCAATAGTGTCTTTGTCAGTAACTGGGTTATGCTTTATCTTATGTTGAAAAAGACATGTTGGATATTTTTTGTTTAAGTTTATTGAAAAGAAATTAAAGAAAGTAGCTGTTGATATTTAAAAGAGAGTTAAATATAATGCAATTACTATCTTTAGATTGTGGACCATGAGCAGCAGCTAATGAGAGCAGCTAAAGAACTTGTGTCTCAAGATCCTATCACACTATCACCCCATCAGCTCCCAAGCTATGGGACATTGATATAGATAGATAGATAGATAGATTGTAATTCAATATGTTACTTTGGTATGTCTTTCACTTTCCTTCCTTTTCTTTTCTTCTTTTTCTTGCGCTTAGAAACATTGGTATTAAAACATTATAAATGTAATGTATTATTATTATTTTGTATTATTATAGGTAGATAGATAGAAAAATATATAGATATATATAGATAAATAGAAATTTGCTGATATTTTTTCATCTACATTTACACATCAATTTCAGATTCACGTTCAACTGCCTTAGAGTTCCTGCATACTACAATGATAAGGCTCGTAACTATGACGACTCGATACAGTTCAGAGGTCAGAATGATGATATAATAGAACATGGTATGCCGGGATATGTCGTGCCCAAAGATGGATGTAAGGTAAGATTCTAAAGTGAAACAAATTATTTTGTGATACTGAAAACTTTGATTGGTTGGGGTAATCATAACATCATCTGTTTGGAGGCAGAATGGTGTTAACTCATCATTGAAGTATATGAGTTAATGCTCTTCTGGCTTCAATCAGATGACATGTAGTTAGGCTTCTATCAAACTTTAGAATTTAGTAGGCTGTGGTTCTTCACTATCAACTATCTCCGCTACTTTTATAACATGCTTTTTCTTGTGTGCAAATGTGAGTTGTATACTGTTCAGTGATAAAGATTTCAAGCAAGTGTCATTTAAAATCTTTTGCTTGTAAATACACAGGAGAGGGGTTAATTAACAATCAAAGAAACCAGACTTTCAAATTGAAAACCCCCGGAATCATTTTAAGGACGGCATTTGTTCCCTCTTGAAACGCCGAACATGCCCCGGTGTGTGCAGCTGAATATACAATGGTGTCTTATTTTGTTTACAAGCGACACATTCCTTTATTTTTGTATCGCTGCATTTGTCATCAAAATAAAACCATGCGCGGGGATTAGAGTGAGGTAATAGATTATACATTTATCGTGACGGTAGTGAAGTAAGAGGAGGAACTCGAGAGAAGATGAATACACAGGCACTGAAAATGTGTGAGATGTCATGGGACATCGTCTGCTTGTGCAAGTCATGTCCATACTGTGATCTCACACATCTCAGCAGCGTTCAGAGAGCTCTTCAGGTGCTATGCCGGGGCTGTATTTAAGGCGAGGCGTCAAAAATAAATATACCAGCCAGCGGCAGCTAACTGCACTTGTGCGTCCTGGCTGCATTTTTAAAATTAGTTCAGCCGGCTACCGCTGGCGGTAGGAAATGGCGTTCAAAAGCATACGCCGGCTGCCGCCTTTCGAATGGAAACCGAGCCTCAGATCCCAGCCTGGCGCAAGCCGGCTGGGCTAACAAAAGAAAAATAATTGCCCCAGCCAGGCTTCGGCCGTAATTGCAGCCTCGATGCGCCAATACGTGAGGCGGCAGCCTGCTGGTATCGATATTTTTGACGCCTCGCCTAAGCGTTTTGTAATTTATAATAATCAATACTTTGAATGTTTCCAAGCATTGAATTTTGATAACATTGTCGAATCAAAGTTTCAACTTTGCAATAATGAAAATAAAGTTAGTTTTTAAAATCAATGAATATCTACTTTAAGTGTCATTTAGTTTATATCTTAGCAGACCAAACAAGCCAACTGTAAAATGGGTACCTGGCTGGGTTTACTCATTGAAATGCACTGTTTGCTGATTATGGCTATTTGGAGCTAAAGGGTGGTTATGTCCAAATGTGTTTGGAAGCACATAGGGGGACATTATATCATATTGTGTTGTGCGCTATATAATAAACGTTTTCTTATTGTTTCCCTTGTTATTATCTCATTCCAGTCACTATTCAAAAAGCTGAAGAAGTCCATTTTCACTCTGAGGTCCAGTGACCCCTCGCAGCTACCCATCAAAGATTTTGCTCCTCGAGGATATGGAGGGCGTGGCCAGAGATTCGGGTTTACTGTGGGACCGGTATGTTTCTTATGAGCAAGGTCACTATGGACCACACCCAAAGAAGAACTGACTTTCCTGGCAGATTAAATTCACCAGAGTTTTAAGATGGATCGCATTGGTGTGCTCTTATGGAACAATCTATGTGACTGGACCTTAGCTACAAACATTTCAGCTGACTTTATACCTCATGAATGACTGACGTACTGATGTTTTTGGAGGAGTGAAATTTCGTCATGCATTGGTCTGAAGAGGAATTCATTTCTTTTCATCGGGATAAAATTTTGGCTCAGCTTTAAAAAATCTTGTTGTCATCTTAAGATTATCTTTGTAGTTGAAATCCTGGACTTGAGGAGTGTCATGTTAATGTTTTATTTGTATATTTTAAATGTAGGAGATATCTTGTGAATGTGTTTGTATGAGATTGTGTTTCTTCTTCTGTGTATTGTATTTTATGATAAATGTCATCGATTGAAACCCCAATCCTTCTTATCTGTGCAGCAGTGTAAACTACAAAGGAATATTTCAGTGTGCCAAAGCCAAGCTCATATTTGTAGATATATACAACAACAACAACAAAACAGATAAAGAGCAACATATACTTTATAATTTTGTATAATTGCCTAAAGATGTATCAACAAACTCTTTCATACCTCAACGACACATTTAAAATACAAAAATTGTCATAATTATGTTAGACAGTGTGACTTTTAATAACATAAAATTACATAATTCCACTGACTCACCGATTGAACATGTGAAATATGAAAAGCATGAACAAAAACAATTTAGTGTAAAAACAAGGAATCAAAATTAAAGATTTTTAAAAGATCTTGACTATTCAACTGCATTATTTGAAGAAGTCTACTCATATATCTTGACTGTAAAACACAAAAGAGTGGAAGAGGGCAAAGGTCATAGAGAAAGTGTGGATAGAGGGAAGAGAAGGAAAGGGGAACGAATCAAGATTAAAGGGAGAGAGGATAGGATCACTGTAAAGTGAATGAGCAAGGTGAAGAAATAAATACCCACTTACATCTACATAGTGGACATGTGAACATGTTTTACAAACTTTGATTAATGTTTTTAACAAAAAACAAATTGAGAAACATTCCCAGAAACTTGGGAATGGTGATAAGCCCTGGGAAATTCTAAAAGAGCTCTGGCTAAAAATTAAAACAAATACTTATAAATTCCAATGCCAAGATGATAGATCTCACTTACCGTAGTATTGACTGTTCTTTAAATCCTGGGAACAAAAATCATTTTTTGATCCGGCCTGCACCCTTTGTGCCAATTTATCTGATTGATTTTGATTTGTATCTGTTATTTTTGTGCCCGGTGGTAGAATTATCATGGGAATCTATTGACCAGAATTACATGTATTGTTCACTTAGCCAAAATCCTGTATTTTAATAATTTTCTCACACATCACTTTATTGGTGAATCGTGTTCAACAACAGAGCCACGATGGTCCAGGACAAAGCCAAATTACTGGTAGACGCAGGGCAAAATAAAGATACATATTTCACTAATATACAGTATAACAAATATATTGTTATATGAACAAATCAAATCGCACACATAAACATTTAAAGGAATTGATGTGCACATAGCATTAGTTGTGTGTGTAGATCCTTCAAATTAAATAAAAATGTGAAGAGCTTTCAAATGAAATAAAATGCATGTAAAGTGCTACCCCTTTCTCCCTCATCTGCCCCATTCAGTCTCTAGCTTGTATAAAGACGAAACCGCTACTTAAATATTTTTCTTTAATGTTTTCTTCAAACAGAACAAAAATGTTCTGCTATTGTAGTAGTAACTCATACTTGTTATATACATAATTTTTATACTATATGTACATGAAAATTACTTTGTAATTATATATTGGTTATAATTTTCAGACTAGAACTATTGTTTGATCACATTCCTTGGGTTTTTACCAGTATTCTCTACTTTTTCTAAACATTTCATTTTCAATTATTTTTCAAACCAGGATGTTTGTTGATTCCAGACCAGATACTAGCCTTCTTTCACTTGTGTTTCATCTTGTGCATCAACGATTGATATTCAGAGTACACGCTACTTGTAGATCATGAATGTAAAAGATTTGCTTGGCTGAAGTTTCATTCAGGTATATGATCCTTGTTTTACTCTTTTTATGTTGCAAAGGTCAGAATAAATATTTCTTTCAGGATATATCATGCTTCATATTGATTGTAGCGGCATTGTTGACATTATTTACATTGTACATTCTATTTCAGAAGAAGAAAGAAAAACAGCGGCAAATAAAGCACTTGTCGGTTTCAGTGAAAATAACAAGTTTCCATTTTCAAAACTTCATTCTCACCCCCCTCCCCCCCCCCCCCCCCCCCAACCACACACACAAAAGACTGTTTCATTTCCAATTTTGATAGATCAGGCCAATCATATTTATTTTTCAGGATTTAAGATCAATTATGACTGTGCCGTCTTCAGTATTTTGTGCATAAATAGTTGTATTGGTCCATTTCAATATGCAGTATGTGGTTTTGAGTAAGTTTTCGTTATTTTGTTTAGATTTGCAGGTCAAAACGTACCCATATAATACTATGATTCATACGCAGTGCTCAGTGAACATTTCCTAATTGATTATTTCCTCTCTTTTTTAAAGAAGACATTTATTGATTTTAAATATTGATTTAATTTGTATCATTGCATACAGGAAGATTAGATTGAACAAGGTTATACAAATTCCCCGACTGAAACATTCAAACTACCGAATATTGATTATCAATTTAAACAAATTCCACCCACTTTCACACTTGAAGAGCTCTCTGATCATTTGTGATGTCACGTAATGGACCAAATTAGCATAAGCAGACAATGTCCCATAATAATGCACACATTTTCAGTGCCTATTTCGTCATCTCCTCTTCACCTATTTCTCTTACTTCGTCAGCGTCATAACATGTAACTGTTTGATCTGTTCCCTCACTATAAATTTCAACATGGTTTTATTTTGATGAAAACTGCAGCGTTATATAAAAATAAAGGAATCAGTTATAGCTTCACTATGGCTTGTACGAAAGACGCCATTGTACATTCAGCTGCATATACTAACGCGTGCTTAGCATTTCAAACGTTCAGTGGGCTTTAATTCAAGTTCCAAGTTTATTGTTCAATCATTTATCCTTGCCCTGAATGTTTCTTAGCAAAAGGTTATCAGAATCAGCATCACTTCCCTTTTAAAATAGTGTGAAATATATTCATGTTTCAAATCAATCAAACTCTTATTATCGAGAAATAATTGCACTGAAAATCTGTTCATTAGTTCTAGGATGTTGTTTGCTTATGGAGGATGGGTGCCTGATAAAAAAAATTGCAATTTTTTCTTCTGAAGAAGAAGCGCACGTATATTCCCAGGCCTTAGTTTCTTGTGATTCACTATGGCCCGTATTTGTGATTTTCTTTGAATGTCTACTTTAAGTACAGTAAATTCCAAAAATGTAACATTACCTTTAAAGCAGAAAAGGAAATAATATCGCTGAGAACTTTGACCTCTGTGAAGAAATAGTTTGATTGGGGGAATCCCCATGCGGTCATCAGTGATGAAATACCAGAACATACATGTATGTATAGCTGTGGTTTTCATTTGTGTCTTCCATGAAATGAAAATCCTTTTCAAGTGATTTCCACAGAAATAGTTTTAAATACATTCATTGAAAATATGGCCTTCTCTTTCAGACATACGTGTAATATGTTTGCCATTTCATTTGTTTTACATACTACATACGATAACTCCGCTAAAAGAGAATACAATATATTGACGAAATGTGAAAGTAAATTTTGTCCCAAGTATGACATTTAAAAAAAACTGAAGTGAGTCTTTGGATCAGCAGTCATAGATATTACCGGTAGGTTCAAAGTATATTATACCACATTGACTTATTATTATGGACAATTCAATACATTGTAATACTGGTCAGTACCCACTTCACTTGTTTAGCACATGTAAGAAACTATATAGATTGAGATCGTTTTTTCTAGTCCTTATCCAAATATGGAATCAGTAACATAAAGGAATTCACCTGATGTTGTGCCATCTCGTTGTTTTCATGATGTTTAAAAGAAGGAAGAAATTGAATCAAAATTTGATGTAGAAAAAGAGGAGATGTTATGGTTAAAAAATGGATACATATTAATAGCTTCCACAGGTGGCTAGTGAGGTGAGGAATATTTGCAGGATTTATTTCTACATTGTTTTAAAATGAGCATTTTGAAAATCATCCCATTGTGGGTTAAAATGATCATTTGAGTTAAAATTGCTTGATTTAAACACAATTTGATTGAAATTTGATTGGCTTTACTGGTTTCAAAATGTACTGTTCATGATATTTTAAACCAAAATGAAATTCTGTAGGAAAGAAGAAAGTAATCCCACTCTGGTAAAGTGATTCCTTGTTCATTATCATGTCAGCATGCTTCTTGTCCTTATGGAGGATAGAGAGAAAGTTCACAAACAGACTGCTTTAAATGGTAAAACTACTTAAAAACTTTTGTTTTGCCATAAACTGCCGAGTGCCGAAAACACCAAGTCTGTGTACTTCTAAATGTTTATTTATAGCCGTAAAAGAAAAAATAAGATTATATTCGGTGCTCAAATTTTGTGTAATTTTGAAGTTGTTCTTTTTGTTTGGCTATGGGTATGATGTAGACTAGTTTCTAAATTTAGCAGTAGCATAAGATGATGAACATTTGACATGTATATGTGTGTATATACTGTAATATTAGTCCTGTGATAAAAAGGTACCTTTGTGAATCATATGCATGGTAGATTGGTCTGTAATAGTGAATTCTTGTAGAAATATTTCTTTTAGCTTGTAATGAATATGAAAATTGTTGCTTTTCGATAGTGCTAAGTTATGTAAAATTACTGTGCATATCTATATTCTCCTTTTTATGAATTGTAAAAATGGTAAATAACCCTAAATTATGTACAGCATCCAAACCCCTTCCCCAAGTTCTTGCCAATGAATTGCCTTCTTTTGCATTTACTTTCTATGTTTGTTACCGATTAAGAACAATGTCAGTCACTTTATGCAGTACACTGTTTCAAGGAAAATAAATATATTTTGATTTATTGTACATGCAATGCATTAAGAGTCTTATTTGAATGGAATATAATTATGAAGAGTTGACTAAGTACTAATGTAGCTAAATGCCTTCAGAAATTCAACCCACTTTTAATGTTTGTATAAGAAATCGTGCATGTAGTTAAAATGTAAAAAATTATAAACAAAAAGGAGGGATAGTATTACAAAGAGATAATAAATCAACATTAGGCCTGTCATTCATATTGAATATGTGAATAATGTGAAAACTTGGATAAAGATTATGTACTTATCAGGACTAAAGATGTGAAACAAAGTCCTGGAACCTCTATCTAAACTCTTGTGCTGGAGACAAACTATTTGCCTACTCAAGGAGTCACCACAGAGCTATTCCTAGACAAAGTGCATGAGCATGGCTTGGTCCTATGTAGGGTAATCCTGAGGCAATTTTTTATTGAGACAGAATGTTATCATTTTGTTGCTGGGTTTGGTATAAGGAAGTCGTAATCATTGAAAACTTTATGGTTTGCATCTCTCATAACAATGGCCCACTGTTTTTTAGCATAGACTTCCTGAATATGGAATGTTCAAGGGCGTCGCTTCGTCGCTTAAGGGATAATGGGACATCGAACCCCCCCCCCCTTCAAAGTTTATGCCACTAAAGTCATTACCATACTCACAAACTTAGGTTAGTTGGTTAGTTGTTGCTTATACCGGTAAATTAGTAGCTAAAAACTTGTCTACAAAGAGCAAAGTCGACCCCCCCCCCCTTCCAAAATCTTCTAGCTTCTAGCTTCGTTGCACTTTTCTCTTTTCCCGATGTCATTAAACAAAAAATTGTTTGAAACCAATGAAGCCATCAATCAATCTTCCAATTATAGAAACCAAATTTCACGCAATCTAGATTCTTCAGAATAATTGTTATAGTTCATTTAACACAGTACATTCGGGTAACACAACAAAGGTAGCCTACCGTTCTCACAAAAGCACCACAATAAATATCGCCTCCTAAAATTGTAATGTTGATTTGTGTTCGTTTTATGGTCTTGGGGTGGTAATGTTAGGAATTAATCACCTTCCCAAGTTTTGTGTAAGCGTTTCTATATCTTGTAAAGTTCTTTGTGTTGTACTGTTTGGAGAAGAAAAAGGTTATACATGCATCAGTATAGGGATGTGAATTCAAATATTAGCTATTGTCCTAGGATAATATCTGTACCTAATTTTGTTTAATGCTTTGATTTCCGTAAACATGAGAGGGTCCTTTTAGCAATCATTCCAGACTCATACAGTGAATCTTTTGTACATGTGTAAATAAAGCTGGCTCTAGAGTGCACTATACGATGCATCTTCTCAGCAATCCAAAATAGAAAATCGCTCCCTCGCACAATTATATCTTTAACAGAATTACATCTTTATTATCCAGGTTTTTAACCAAACTTGGTAGGAATCATGCTTAGGCAAGGGAGATCTTAAGTCATTCAAATGGGGTAGGCATCCCCCAAGGAGCCTGGGGCAGTAGTTGCACATTTTCTTCTGCTTCTTGAAAACTTTTTGGATTCTAACCAAAATTTGTAGGAATCCCCTGCAGGAAATGGAAATCTAAGTTGTTCAAATGGGGTATATGTCCCGCAATGGGGCACGAGGGCAGCATCCCCATTGGCAATAATTGTACACTTTTTACTTTACTCTTATTTTGAATGAACTTAATAGGGAACATTCCTCAGGCAGGTGGATATCAACTTGTTATGAAGGGCAACTGACTCCTCCAGGAGTAGTAGGCTTGGGAGTGGCACCCCCCCCCCCCCGAAAAAAACCCCTCTGTTCTGCATTTTCTATTTCTTCTCAAAAATGCTAGGCCGGGTTTTAACCAAACTTGGTAGGAATCGTCGTTAGGAAAGTGTGATCTAAGTTGTTCAAATTGGGTACATACACATTACACACCCAAGGGGGTCTGGATATTTTGCACCCAAAACCCTTGAACCGCAATTTTACCACTACCCAGACCGGTCTATATCTTTAAAACAAAGAAGATCTGTAAACCTTCTGACCTCGCTATATAAGATATGTGATAAATTATTTCATCAAATCGAGTCTCTATGATACAAACTTTTTTTATACGGTAAATGCAAAGTCTTCTCAGTTCGGGGGAGAGGCGGGTGGCACCCCCCGCGATTCAATGGATTGATACTTGAGTCGTACATAATATGTATTGCGTTCCTGGAGCAACATGTAGTCAATTCTTCGTCGCTGAGCCCCTTCGAAATACGCCATAGTTATAGCACATAATGAGATATGTATTCAGACTCCATTGACGTAATGTTACCATGACAATGCTTTGGAATGTTTGAGGTATTTACTTCCTCAATATGTTTTCGAATTTGTGAAAATTTGGGATTCCCCTATGGTGTATGTGTTTCATTGTATCAACAAAATATCGTGCCTAATTAATCTCGGGTTTTCACAGATCACATGTCTTTTATAAACGTATGATGGAAAAAGGTCAGCATTAAGAAATCGCAATGCTCCGAGTCTAAATTACGTGGAAATAAATAAATGTCCATGTTAGTCCTCAGCTCCAGTTTCGATTAAACTGTAATTATTAAATCACATATTTGTTTATTGTTAATCAACATTTTCATTGTACAAACACTATCACAAGTTATGTTATTCTTCTTCTTTTTATTCCTCTTCTTTTATTTTTCATAAGTTCTTCTTTCTCCTTCTTCTCCTCCTTTTCCCTCTTCTACTTCTTTCTTCATCTTCTCTTTCTTCTCGTTGTCTTCTTCCTTCTCTTTATACTCTTAGTCGCATTCTCTTCCCCTCCTTCTTCTTCCTCTTCTTTTTTCGTTCTTCTATTTTTTCCTTCTTTTTTCTTCTTCCTTTTCTTCGTCTTCTTCTCCTCCTAACCCTTCTACTCTTTCCTTTTCTTCCTTTTCTTCTTCTTCTTCTTCTCCTTCGTCTTCTTCTTCGCTATCTTGTCCTTCTGTTGAGGTATTTGTAATGTATCGTTATGAATTAAATTGCAACTTCAAATCACCCTACAACGAAAACCCGCAGTGGTTGTGAAATTCTGTTATTTGTTATACCTAGATCCAGGCGCGTACGCAGGATTTTTTCAAGGGGGGGGTTTTAACATTTATAAATCGGTCCGAAAATTTCGCAACGACTCAGCCAGCCGCTGAATAAGCGGGGGGGGGGGGGGGGGTAAGAGGACACATTTTTTTTTTTTTTTGGTCCCAAAAAAATCGCAACGACTCAGCCGACCGCTGAATAAGCGGGGGGGGGGGGTAAGAGGACACTTTTTTTTTTTTTTTTGGTCTCGAAATTTGGAAATTTGACATTTTGCTCCGTTGGGGGGGGGGGTAAGGTCACCTTTTTTAGGTCGGCCATGGGAATAATTTTTTTTTTTTTTTTTTTTTTTAATAAAAAAAAAAAAAAAAAAAAAAAAAAAAAAAATCCAAAAGGGGGGGTTTTTAGGTTTTTTTTAGGGGGGTTTACACACAAAAAATTTCCAAAGGGGGGGTTTAACCCCCCAAACCCCCCCCCCCCCCCTGCGTACGCGCCTGCCTAGATCTTACCTTTAGAAAAACACAAAGCGTATGACTAAAGAATTAAACGAAACTCCATGAAAAGGGAATCAAGTTAAGGGAGAAAAGTCAATAGAAATCTAACGAGTAAACAAAATAAGAGGAAGTAAGTCGAATGAAAAATAATAATATAGATTTGAGATGAGAATATTAAAGAACAAAGAAATAATTGTTCAGTTCTGTAGCCCCCCTGCACTCACATCCGCCTCCAGCACCCTTTTCAATCCATTGCGCTAACTGATTTCATTTATACCATATTCATTTCATACAGTAGGCTTGCATGCAAGCCGATACTTATAAGCAGCATCATATTCATTTCTTTTTTCATAAGTAAGCCGGTTTTATTTACAGACAAATGCCAACTTGATGGCTGATTTTAAATGTAAAGGTAGGAAACTGGGGGGGGGGGAGGGGTGGGGTGGTGGTGGGGGCGTGATAGTTGGTGTACCCCAGGGGCTAAAGAGGAGGCTGATTAATGATCCGACTGATTAAAAGGAGAAATAACTCTTGGTCACATCATGATGGGGGGGGGGGGCTTGGGGCAGTTGCCCCCCCATGAAATTCAAACGTGGTTTATTTCTACCAGTGATTTTCATTTCATTTCATTTATTTCATTCTCCATAAAAAAAACATTAAACATACAACCATGATATACAGATAAAAGATCGATTACAAGAAAATTACAAAGGGAAGGAGCAAACAAAAGGTTAAAGGAATGTGGGGTTAACAAAAAGGGCAATTAACATTATGAACGTCAATCCTTTTAAAGTATACACTGTATTGTTGAGAAAAGAAAAACTGGAAAAGAAAAGCAGAGAACACCAATACAAAGAAGAAAAAAAGGGAGGGAGAAGGGGAGGGGAGGGGCAATACATTACAAAGTGCATTTACTGAAACGTAACGTCATTTAATTTGAGATTGAATACAATAATAAAAGATGGGGTTTATACAATCGTTTAGAAAATATTCATTGAATTACAGTTTTTATATTAAACGGGATATTTTTCCATAAAACTGGCCCTCAGAAAAACTGTATTTTTAAAAACATTTGTTAGGAAAATAAAAATTACCAGCATTACGAGTGTCATGAGAATTTTTTTTCATAATTGAGTGTAATTTACATGACAAATGATGCTGAAATAACATGATTTTCCGGGGTTTTCTCATTTTTTGTATTTTATACTTTTGTATGCGTTTGTAGGAAAATAACGAGTTCCCAAATTTACAAGTCAGGCAAAAAAACATATAGTGCCCCTTTCTACACAGGAAAGGTGCCCCATTTTACTTCAGATAAGCGCCCCTTTTTATTTTAAACAGGTGCCCGTTCCACATTCTTATAAGTGCCTTCCTATCCAGATAAGTGCCCCTTTTCATCTCCGGTGAGTGCCTCATTCAAATTTGAGAGATGCCCCCTTTTACTCTGTAATAAGTGCCCTGTTTTATATTT